AGAAGGGTTTATAATACTTGTTCTCAAGATGTAATGAAACAGTTTCTGTAAGAAATTACACTCCTAGATATGTACCCAAGACTTAAATATATATCCACACATAAAAATTTGTATTAAGATGTTTATAGTAGAATTATTCAAAACAGCTACACAGTAGAAAAAGTCCAAATGTCCATCAAGTAATGAATGAATAAACTAAAAGTAGTATATCTATACAATGGAATTTTATTCAGCAGTAAAAAGGAATGGCATACCACTGATCATTCGCTAGGATGGAGAATTAAACAGCTCATGTTGGTAGGCATGATGGTATATGCCTACAGTCCCAGCTACTTGATTGTCTGAGGCAGGAGGACCAAATTTAGTTCAGGAATTCGAGGCTAGCCTGGGCAATATAACAAGATGTTTTCTCAAAATAAATAAATAAAATAAAAAGCTCATGTTGATGAGGAGGTGGAGAAATTAGAACCCTTGTACATTGAGGATGAGGGTGTAAAAAGGTACAGCCACCAGAGAAATAAGTTTGGCAGTTTCTCAAAAGTTAAATATAAAGTTACTATATGACCTAACAATATTACTCTTAGGCCTTATACCCAAGAGAAGTGAAAACATGTTCACATAAAAACTTGTACATAGTTGTACATAGCATTAATATTCACAGTAGCATAAAACAAAATAGCTCAAATGTTAGCCATAAAAAAGACATATTACAATATAGATAAACCTTGAAAACATACTAAGTGCAAACTGAAAACAAAAAAGGCCACCTATTATATGAAATGTCCAAAATAAGTAAATCCAGAAACAGAAAGTAATTTATGGATAGGGTCATAATGAGACTGATTATTAATAAGTATAGATTTTGGGGGAGTGTGATGAAAATATTCTGAAATTAGTGGTGATGGTTGCACAATGTAGTGAATATACTAATAATATATACTTTAAAATAGGAAAATTTTATGGTCTTGAATACATCTCAGAATGCTATATAAAAATTTATCCTGGGTCTGTGGTCATATGCATTTTATCTTTTGATCAATATTGCCAAATTGTCCTCTATCAAAATGGTACAATTTATACTCTTAAGAAGCTATGGATGAGGGTACCTGTTTTTATCATGTTCTTGGTGTTGTGGTATGTGATCAAAAGTTTTAGTCTTTGTCCGTGTTGTTGTTGAAAAGTAATAACCTAGCTGGGTATGGTGATGTGTGCCCTCAATCCCAGCAACTCAGGAGGCTGAGATAGGAGAATTGCAAGTTTGAAGTCAGCCTCACCAACTTAGACCCCCATCTCAAAATAAAAAATAAAAGGGCTGGGGATATAGCTCATTGGTAAAGCATACTGGTTTAAATCCCTAGTTACCACCTACATCACCTCCCCCCCCAAAAAAAAATTAGAAAGAAAGAATAAAATAATAATCTGATGTAGATTTGTGATTTATTTCTCTATGATCCAGATTGAACATCTTTCATAAATTTTTTGCCATTTTATTAAGTATGAACATCTATTACTCATTGATTTTTTTTGTTAACATTTGTCTTTTTCTTATTGATATGTAGGACTTCTTTATGTTATCTTTTACCTACTTTTTCTTTTGACCGAGGGATGTACTTTTTAAATTAAATTATTTATTTATTCTAATTTGTTATATATGACGGCAGAATGCAATTCATTTCATATTACAAATATAGAGCACAATTTTTCAAGTCACTGGTTGTACACAAAGTATTTTCACACCAGTCATTTCTTTATACATGTACTTAGGGTAATGATGTATAAATCTTTCCACCATCTCTTCTACCCCATTTCCCTTTCCTTCCCCTCCCTCCCCTTTGTCCTATCTAAAATTCCTCCATTCCTCCCATGCTCCCCCATGCATCGCCATTATGAGTCAGCACCATGACTGAAGGATGTATTTTTATCATGAATACTATCATTGCTGTCCAGTAGTACTTGTTACAGCTTTGCTCCATCTTTGAAATTAAAATAAGAATCTTGAGTCATATGTCATTGACATCACTGATGAGGGCTGTTAAGTTTCTTAGTACTTATCCTTGTACTTCTTCTAAAGCTATGACAGTTTACCACATCTGTTTGTGTATGTAATTGTTTTTCTTATATTCAGAATATTTTGAAGGGGAACTGAATGAGGAACTCAGGCTTTGGATAAATTATTTGATTCTAATTTTGATTTTTAACAACCATTAAAGTAAATGTAGTTTACTACTTTTCATAGAAAATATGAAAAAAAAATTACTAGATTAATATATGGGTGAAAAGATAAATGGGTAGATAAATAGCGTAAACAAATGTGTTAAAACAGGGCTGAAAACCAGGAGACTCTTTGCAATGGAATAGTTATGCCGCACCCCCAACTGTTGAATCATTCATGCCTAGACAGTCTTCAATAAATATTTTTATTCATATTATATGCCAAACCTTGTTCTTGGTTCTGACTATCTTATGTTGACTGAAACAGATTTTTCCCCTTATTTTTTTTAATTGGGACATTATAGTTGTACATATGATGGGATTTTTTGTTACGTATTCATACTTATATACAATATAATAATATGATTTGGCCACTATTATTCCTCAGGACTGAAACAAGATTTTATCCCTGACCTCTTACAGTTTATAATCTAATGAAAGAGATAACAAAATGGAAAACCGAACATACTGTAATTGAGAAGATGTTATAAAAGTTGAATGTTTCCTGCTTGTTTATAGAAAATAACTGAGTAACTGGGAGCTGTGTGACATACTTTGGGTAGAGTGGTCAGTGAAGGAGCTCCTTCTGAGGAGATAAGGTTTAAATTAATACAGAGGAAGAAGCCAGCCATAGCAAAGCTGAGGAGCATTTCATGAAGTGGAGGATTGAAATTGAGGACCCTAAGGGTATCTTTTGAGAAACAGGAAGGAGGCCATTATGGCTAGAACTTAATAATTAAAAGTGGAAAAGATAAGAAGAGACCTTTCAAGTTATAGTAAGGACTTTGGACCTTTACATTGAGAAATTATCAGGAGATGTTAAAGCAAAAGATTGACACAATCAAGTTTATGTTAAAAGACCAGTAGTTTCTAGATGGAGATCAAAGAGAGAGAGAAAAGAAACTGAGAAAGCAATTAAAAGGCTATGGCCCGTGGGGCTGGGGATGTGGCTCAAGCGGTAGCGTGCTCGCCTGGCATGCCTGCGGCCTGGGTTCGATCCTCAGCACCACATACAAACAAAGATGTTGTGTCCGCTGAAAACTAAAAAAAAATAAATATTAAAATTCTCTCTCTCTCTCTCTCTCACTCTCTCTTTAAAAAAAAAAAAAAAAAGGGTATGGCCCAGTGGCTTGGGAGGCTGAGACAGAAGGACCAGGAGTTCAAAGCCAACCTCAGCATCTTAGTGAGGCCTTAAGCAACTCAGCAAGACTCCATCTCCAGATAAAATGTAAAAAAGAGCGGGGGATGTGGCAGTGGTTAAGCATCCCTGGGTTCAATTCCTGGTACCAAAAACAAGGGGCTATGGGCAGTGCCTACACTAGAAATATGGATGGTGGCAGAGTAGATGGAAAAATTTTGTTCAGTTCTAGGTATAGTTTGACAGTAGAATCAACATATGACAGATAATGAAGAAGAAAATTCTTGGTATATTTCCAGCTGTTTCTTAAAATTTTAATGGGGCTGGGAGCTTAGTGGCAGAGAACTTACTACCTAGGCTCAGTCTCCAGCAATACATACGTATGTATGAAAGTAAATAAGTAAATCGATGCTTTGCTTGGAATCAAATATGGGTGGTGGTAGGTTTTAATACAGTGATACATAACATATCTTGTAATGCTTTGAAAATACTGTTTAATTTTGGGTTCTTCCATTTTTTTTTAACTGAAATATGTTGGCAATTGAAGTATTTTCTGAATTCAGTTATAATTTTGCAGAAATAGAGCTTAATTGGCATTTGAAAGTATTGAGACTGCTTAAAATCCTCACAGCCAAAAAGTAGTTCTTCCCCAAACTAAACATTTTTAAAATTTATTTTTTAATTTTAATTTGTTATATATGACAGCGGAATGCATTACAATTCATATTACACATATAGCATGCAATTTTTCATATCTTTGGTTGTACAAAAAGTAGAGTCACATCATTAGTGTCTTCATACATGTACTTTGGGTAGTAATGTACATCTTATTCAACCGCTTTTCCTATCGCCATGACCCCTCTCCTCCTCTCCCTCCCTTTTGCCCTGTCTAGAGTACATCTAATCCTCCCATGCCCCCCATCTCCAAGCCTATTATTAATCAGCAATCTTAAAACAGAGAAAACATTTGGCATTTGGTTTTTTGGGATTGGCTAACTTCACATAGCATTATATTCTCCAACTCCATCCATTTACCTGCAAATGCCATGATTTTATTCTCTTTTAATGCTTAATAATATTCCATTGTGTGTGTGTGTGTGTGTGTGTGTGTGTGTCACATTTTCTTTATTCATTCATCTACTGAAGGCATCTAGTTTGGTTCCACAGTTTCCAAACTAAACATTTTCTCTTAGAAAATATGTGGGTTCTTTGAGGTGGGGTGGGCAAGTTTAAAGTAACAGAGTAGAAATTAGAAAATTTATTTTCCACTTATGTACTTAAAATTTTGTCTGAGAGTATCAAGCCACAAAATTTTATTTATGAAAGAAGGGAATTTTTTTAACTTGCCAGATAAAATAGTTAAATTTATAGAAGTTACTTCCAGTTGCTGCAACTAAGCATCTTTACTTTTGAAATAGAGGTATTGCACAGTGGATACTTAGATGGGAAATTAAAATCAAAATCTTAAAGCTAACAAATATATTCAGTAATTTCTATCATAATTTTGTTATATTTGATATGAATAATTTGTAATTTAATGATTTTTTTCTACCTAAGCCTTTTCAAAAATGCAGTTTCTTAGTGTTGCTCTTCAAATGCAACAGATTTGCAAGAATTGCTATATTAGATACTCAAAGAGAAAAGAAATCAGTCTTCTTTATTTATTTTTCAGAGGTGGCTGGATCCAAACAAACCAATAAGGAAGCAGCTAAAGAGTGAGCATACATATTTACTTGATGTTTTGCAAGTACACCTTATAAGGATAAAGGATTAATATAAACTTATTAATTAGAACTGCTTTTATTAATTCTAGGAGGATCTCCTTACAGTTTGAACTTTAGAGTCAAATTTTTTGTAAGTGACCCCAACAAGTTACAAGAAGAGTATACAAGGTGGGTTTATGGAGCATATTTGTCTTGAAAACATTGTCAAAATTCTAATATGAAATTTTGAGGCAAAAATAGATTACCATTTTATACCTTTCCAGCCAGCACAGAGAAAAAATTATGGATAATCTAAGATAACTATTACTTCTCCTTTTGGATGACTAAGAGGGCTTTAGAGGATTAGATTCTCAGGAATTCCCCATCCACCTCCTGAGCTGAACAAACTCTGCATTATTTATTTACTTATTTATTTTACTTGTGAACAGTGGTTAAGAAGCAATGCTGTGAGCTGAGGATGTTGCTCAGTGGTAAGTGCTTGCCTAGCTTGCACAAGGGCCCTGGTTCAGTCCTGAGCAGTGGAAAACAAAAGAAGAAGCAATGCTGTAGTTAAAAATGGTAATCAGGTGATGCCAAAATTGTGTCCAAGGAATGGTGCATAGTGAGAGTTTTCCTTTTTTTTTTTTTTTTTTTCATGTAAAAGCATATTCTAAGGCTGGGGCTGTAACTCAGTGGTGGAGCACTTGTCTCATGTGTATGAGGTACTGGGTTCTGTCTCAGCACCACATAAAAATAAATAAAATAAAGGTGTTGTGTTCATCTACAACTAAACATTTTTTTAAAGCATATTCTGTATATATTTTTTCCTTTCATTGAAGGGAACATAGAATTTCTAGAATACATTACCATCATGTAGAAGAGAAATGGTTGTCAATAGATATATTTTTTTCCCTTATTTGTTTTATATCTTTGGTTCCAAAGAAAATACAATAGACTCTTAAAGGATGCTGCAGAAGGTTCAGCCTTTGCATGCCTTCTTTATTGCCCATCTTAATTCTGAACTTGTGTTAAAACTGTCTTAATTTTGTTGTCACTTGTTCTTAGTGAGGGATACACAGGAAAGATTCAAATGAGCATTTTTGTTAGATTAAGCATTAGGTGAAATGTTTAGGGTAGAAAGAATAGAGAAATACTGACAGTATGATGAATGTCATTATCCAAAATAACCTGAATAATTATATTGCATTGCTTGAAAGGTAAAATTAGTAATTAGTTTTTAAAAATGAAAAATTAGTATATTATACCTTCTATAGAACATGTAAGAATATAGGTCAGCAACTACATTGAGAATTACTCCAGAAGTTAGGTGCCAAATGGAAAATATGTACCTAAATCACGTATAGACAGAACATTTGGTTTTCATACATTGCTTATTGTTTAGAATGTTGTGTTGGCATAGAGAAACAAAAGGATAAATCAAAGATACTTAGTTAGCCTAAGATCCTATTCTTAGATGCCTGTAGTGTTTTCAATATTAAACCAAGCGAGAAAAATTAGATTGAAATACTTTAGGATCTTTTTCTGTGTATTTGTTGGGGGGAAACTGGGTATTACTTTTTTAATAATGAAAAAATTCAAGAATACAGGGTATTCCTAATATTTGCAACCAGTAGTAAAGTCCAAGCTAATTATCTTGAAAAATAAAGTATATTATATTAGTACCCTTTAATTTAATATTATAGCCCTTAGTCAAGTTTGTTTTTGAATAATTAAAATAATAAGATCTTTTATAATTAATTCTCAACGTAGTAAAACTTGCCCTGATTTTGCATGAATTCCAAGGAAACTACTTTCAATCAATGAAAATTTTTGATTTATAAAACGGTGTTAAATGTATTTTATATTTCCAGGTACATATAATAACTTGAAATTGAATAATAAAATATTTCACAGCTTTTATTTTATATAACTAGACTCCAAATGTTTAGAAAATAGTCATGATTAAAATCTAATAATTAGATTTCTAACATGTTTAATGTTTATAAGTTTGTTAAAGTAAGCAATTAAAATATCATCAATTATAGCCAGGTATATAATTTACTTCACTTAGAACTGCCTGAATTTCTGAGTGGAACTTAAATGTGTTGATTCTTGCACAGCATGTGTTGAAAATGTAATTGAGAAACAAATGTGTCTCACTGATAATTAAGTCAAAATAACTTTTTGACAATGAAGAAAGTGAAGTCAAGTTAGACTTTAGTTGCAAATGAACTTGTGCTCAGTCCCTAGTCTAGAGGATTATCTTGTTTTCACTAGAAATAATGATCTTTTTCAAAACCCCATATGTTTTTGGAATGTTATAGAATCTCATAACTGGTTTGGCAAAATGTGGTACTTGGCTAGTTTTTATTATCATAGTGTAATTAGTGATTCATTATCCTGATTACAAATTACCATCAGTTAGGAGAGTTTTAAACCATTCTAATTAGCCACTTCTCTTCATAGTCTGATTTAATAGATCTCAGATGGGACCTTAGCATAGGCAAGCACCCTCCACCCCCACCAGCTGATTCTTATACATATAGCCAGGGTAAGAAGTACTTTTAAAATTTTAGTACTTGTGTAGACTTAATCCGATGATCCTGATACAAGGACACTCTGTGCATAGCTACCAAGTTTTCAGGATTTAGTTAAGACCCACAAAACAGCAAATCTGCTATATCCCCTTACTCATTGAGTTACCGTTTTGAATAAGTAGAAAAAAAAGAATGTAGTTAAAGGGCTTCCATTAAATGTCATTCAGTATTGACAAGTGCTGGCATCATTAGAATTGGATTTTTCCAATTCCCAAGATACAGAAATTAGGCAAATTATATTACTTCTTTTTTACAAGTGTAAAAACGAAGGCTTAGCCACATTTTAAGTAATTTGCCCAAGATCACAGGCTAATTTAGCCTGGTACTTAAATTCTAGCTTCTACTCTAATAGTCCTACTTGCTTAAACAAGTGTGTAAGTAAAATTCAGTAAGGATAGGCCATACTTGTATAGGATTTGCAATATTATATCAAAGATAATACATGACCCCTAAATCCTAACTTAAGATTCTTTCCCTGCTGGGAACCGCGCCCCCCCCCCCCTTTTTTTCTTTCTTTCTTTTTGTGGTGCTGGAGAGTGATTGACCCAGGGCCAGGGCTTCATTATGCTTTGTGCTTTACCACTGAGTTCTATCACCAGCCCATCTTTAATGTTTAATTATGAAACCAAATAACTTTGATAGAAATACACAGTCTTGGATTATCAGTAATAGTTGTAATATTGTGTATTAAACTGCACAGGGAATTTATGTACTAAATTAATATATGAAAACAGGATATTTGTTTCAGTTTTTTTTTCTTTTGGTAATGAATATCTGATTCTTTAAAATCTTTAATTATTCTTCAGTAATTTGAATATTGTCATGGAGCTAGTTAATGACAAGCCACACTAGAATTATTATTTAATGAGTTTTGATTCATGACATGTATTCTTATTTTTTTAGTTAGGTGAAATAAAATCTTAAAATTTCCTGTTAAAACATTTTAAACCATAACATGTGTTCTTTTGCCAACATCATACAGCACAGATAACTTTGTCCAAGTACTGATAATGAGTGAATGGCCTAAGCACTAGCAGGGATAGAAGAAGGACAAGGCCATCTTCCAAGCAGCCTCAGCAGTCTTGTAATAGGATGCTTATGTTCTCATTTGTTTTCAAGAAATTGGTTACTTGACAGTTCCAATAAGAGTAGATCAATAATAGAAAAAGGAACTTAGGTTGTTTTTCTGATCAGAGATTTTTTTTAAGTCTAATGAAAGTGGACAGTTGCTTTTCTGCAGTAAGCCTAATGATAAAATTATCAACACAAAGGTCTGTCCTTGCAGCTGGATTTCTCAGCAGAAAGAAAGATTTTCTTCAACTGGTTTCTAGTGCATTTGCTGTCAGCTCTCCTTTATGTCTCGTGCTCAGCTTTTCTGTGCTTCTCAGTTTACTTTCTGCATACATCAATCCTTAAGAATATTTTCCTTTAATCTTCTCCTTTGGTCACATAACTTTTAGAAATCTTGAGAAGTTTTGTAATAGAAACAAGACATTCACAGTATAAAATTTAATTTATCAAAGCATTTTAAAGATTTATATACATGGATTTATGAAAATTATTTTTTAAAATATGTGCTAATGTATGCACTTGCTAACATTATAGGTGCTAATATATAAATTATAAAAGTACTAAATATTTTCATTTGTTAACATAAGTGTACGGTTTCTCAAAACTAAAAGTGTAATTCCAGTAAATGCTTATTTTTTTTTTAAGGTACCAATATTTTTTGCAAATCAAACAAGACATTCTTACTGGAAGGTGAGCTATTTAAAATTTTTTTAAATAGACTTTAAAATTACTTTTAATTCTGCATTCTTGAAGTAATCAATTATTAAAAATTATCAAAAATGTTTACATTTAATATGAATGTTTTTCATCATATAAGTTTATTTCTTAATAGTTAAAATTAAATCACATGAAAACTTCAGCTATGAATAGCATAACATAAATTATAGCACTTTTGAAGTTACTGTGTTTAATCTTGGGTTATGTATTTTCTGTTTTGCTTTATCAGATTACCCTGTCCTTATAATACTGCTGCCCTTTTAGCTTCATTTGCCATTCAGTGTAAGTATCATCCTACTTTAAGATCAAATAACATATGATTTGTGGCCTGATAGTATATTTATTTTAATACAGGAGTTCTTTAGACATGTTATAGTGCAGTAAATAGAAATTGTAGAGGAAATTGAATGTTCAAATAGTTAACAGTGCTTTGATGTTTGAAAATTTTTTTTTCTCTGAAATTGAGACCTAGAAGAATGTTGTGAATTATTGCAGACTACTTAAGTGAACTGTAGTAATTCATTTAACATTCTTCTTAATTGGTTACATTAAAAAATCCAAGTATTTTACTTCCAGAAATACAATGGAATTGATGGTATTGCTGCTTTAACTATAATAATTGGAAGTTTTGTTTTTTAATGTGAAATTTTTTCTTTACATTATTAGCTGAACTTGGAGACTACAGTCAGTCAGAAAACTTGCCAGGCTACCTCTCAGATTATTCTTTCATTCCTAATCAACCTCAAGATTTTGAAAAAGAAATTGCAAAATTACATCACCAACATATGTAAGGATTTGTTTAATTTTCTGCTTATTTGGTAAACTTATTGGTGTCCTTTTTAGAGGAATATTGTAAATTATTTCTAATTTTATTGTTGTATTTACTTAACACAGAACAATTACTATTATATAAAGATAAGATTGTTATAAAGAAATGTATGTGATCTCTACTAAAAATGTGTTTTGCTTATTTCATAGAATATGTGAGACTTCTTTTTATTTCTGTTAACAACCATAAAGCTATTTGTTAACAGAAATTTATGTGTTATTATACAAAATTATTCTTTACAAATAAATTTTGGAATATTAATAATATATATTCATAACTTGCAGTTCAGTCTACTTGGTAAGCCTTTCTTAGTTTTTAGCTATATGAAAGGAATTGATTCTGTTTGGTAATGAGCCAAAAGCACCCTTTGTAACACTAATTTTATGAAAATATTCCTTTAAAAATAGTGGCATTTTTTCAGTTACAACCATATTCATCTTTGATTTTTTTTTATAAGTTTGATTTTCTATGACTTTTTTTTTGTTTTGAATAGGCAGTAATATTGTTGATTGGTTCATAGTTCAATTTTGCTTTAACATATGATTCAAAATACTGAATCCTGGAGGAACTAAGGCAATGTTGCAACTTGGCTAAGACTCTGAGCTAGAGAACCAGATTGTCTGATTTGAATTTATGGTAAGGTTACTGTCTTATAACGTTGGCCAAATTGCTCTAAACCTCTGTTTCTCCATTTTCTTGTATATAAATTGGGGATGATAAAAGTATCTATCTCTGGAGTTACTTTTAGTCCTCAGTGGAGAAGTTCTCAGAATGGTGCCTAGCACATTGTAGGTATAGAAGAAATATTAGTTCTTACTAAGAAAACTTACTTTCATTTGGTAATAACCTATGTATCTGAAAATGTATCTAAAACATGTTGGCAGATTGGCTGTTGCCTATTTTTGTATGGCCCATGATCTAAAAAATGGGTGTTTGTATAAATGGAGAAATATATGTGCATACACATGCAAATTTGTAGTTTTTATGTATGTGTACATATTGAAATTTCACAAAATCCAATGACCATAATAAATACCTTTTGAGACAGATACTCCAATTTGTTATATATTGACTATGACTGCCTTCATACAATAGCACAGTTAAGTTGTTGTTGTAGAGACCAGCTGAAAGCCTAAAATACTTACTATCCAGTCCTTTCCACTAAAAGGTTTGCTCACCTGGAATCTAAAGGGACTAATGACTGAGAATTGTAATAGAGTAGTGTAAAGTAGTGAAGGGGCTGACTTGCGCTAAATTGCTGTATATTGAAAGTTTTAACATATAGCATATCTGAACCAAAGAGTTAAAGACTAGACTTTTAAAATTTACCAATAATGAAAAATATTTTCTATAAGGAAAAGGTTTATTTAATGACACAGTGATTACATATTTCTATTTGGTTGAAAGAATTGATCATCAGATCTGCAGACAAGGATAAAATGAATTATCCAGTTTAATGGGGATGGGTGGAGGGGAGATAGGCTCTGTATTTAACTTAATGAAATGTTTCAGAAAAGGGAAGTATAACCTGCCATCTACCCTTTTTTGTTGGTACTGGGGATCGAACCCAGGGGTACTTGACCACTGAGCCACATCCCTGGGCTTTTTTATTTTTTATGTAGAGGGCCTCACTCAGTTGCTTAGGCTGGCATTGAACTTTTAATCCTCCTGCCTTAGCCTCTTGAGCTGCTGGGATTGCAGGCACTGTGGTGCAGTGCCCAGTTTTGCCTTCTTTTTGAAGAATCACATTTGTTATGATCATACATTGGCAGGTTGTGGCTCCCTTTTCTAGTATCATTAGTGAACAAAAGGTTGATACCTTTTCTTTAGTAGTTTATCACTTTTGCTGTACTGTAGTTTCATAGCATCAGATAACTAAGGTTGTTAGAACTGTGTATGAAATTGGGTGTTTTGTTTTGTTTTGTTTTTGAGGTACTTGGAATTGAACCCAAGAGTGCTCTACCACTGAACTACACCCTCAGCACTTTTTTGTTTTTGTTTTTCATTTTGATACAGGGTTTCAGTAAGTCCCCAGGTTAGCCTGGAACTGAATAAAGGTCCTCCTGCCTTAGTCTCCCAAGTAGCTGAGATTACCATCATGTGCCATCACACCTATCTATTTTAAAAGACTTCATATCTAGAGCAGGGTTCTCAAATTTATATTCACAAGAATCACTTGGAAAACGTATTAAAAAGATAGTGCACCACAATCAAGTGGGATTCATCCCAGGGATGCAGGGATGGTGCAACATACGTATATAAATAAACATAATTCATCATATTAATAGGCTTTAAAAAAGAATCATGATCATCTCAATAGATGCAGAAAAAAGCATTTGACAAAATATATCACACCTTCATGTTCAAAACACTAGAAAAATTAGGCATGGTTGGAACATACCTCAACATGGTAAAAGCTATGTATGTGAAGCCCAAGGCCAGCGTCATTCGAAATGAAAAATTGAAAGCATCCTCTCTAAAAACTGGAACAAGACAAGGATGTCCTCTTTCACCATTTCTATTCAACATCATCCTTGAAATTCGAGCCAGAGCAATTAGACAAAAGAAAGAAATTAAAGGGATACAAATAGGTAAAGAAGAACTCAAACTATCACTATTTGCTAATGACATGATTCTATATCTAGAAGATTTAAAAAAAAATTACCAGAAAACTTTTAGAACTAATAAATGAATTTAACAAAGTAGCCAGGATATAAAGTCAACACCCATAAATCAAACACATTCCTATACATCAGCATTGAATCCACTGAAAGAGAAATTAGAAAAACTGCCCCATTTATAATAGCCTCAAAAAAAAAAAAAAAAGATAAAATACCTGGAAACCAATCAATCTAACAAAAAAGGTAAAAGACCTTTACAATGAAAACAGCAGAACACTAAAGAAAGAAATTAAAGAAAACTTTAGAAGATGGAAAGATCTCTCATGCTCCTGGATAGGCAGAATTAATATTGTCAAAATGGCCATACTACCAAACGTGTTATGCAGATTTAATGTAATTCCTGTTAAAATCCCCATGACATTCTTCATAGAAATAGAAAAAGCAGTCATAAAATTTATTTGGAAAAAATCTTAACACACACACACACACACACACACACAAAATAACCCAAACAATAAATGGACTAAGTAAGGAACTGAACAGACACTTCACCAAAGAAGAAATACAGTCGATCAACAAATATATGAAAAAGTGTTCAGCATCTCTAGCAATTAGAGAAATGCAGATCAAAACTACTCTCAGATTTCATGTCACTCCTGTCAAAATGGCAGTCATCAAGAATACAGGCAACAATAAAAGTTGGTGAGGATTGGTAAAAAAGGTAAACTCATATATTGCTGGTTGGGACTGCAAATTGGTACAACCACTGTGGAAAGCAGTATGTAGATACCTCAGAAAATTGGGAATGGAACCACCATTTGACCCAGCTATCCCACTCCTCGGTTTATACTCAAAGGACTTAAAATCAGTATACTACAGTAATGCAGCCACGTCAATGTTTATAGTAGCTCATTCATTCACAATAGCTAAACTATGGAACCAAGCTAGATGTCCTTCAATAGATGAATGGATAAATAAAATGTGGTATATATACTCAATGGATATGGCAAATGCCATAATTTTACTCTTCTTTAAAGCATATGCCAGTAAATTAATGGAGTTGGAGAATATCATGCTAAGCGAAATAAGCCAATCCCGCAAAACCAAAGGCCGAATGTTTTCTCTAATATATAGATGCTAATTCACAATAAGGTGGGAGTGGGGGGGACTAGAGTTCAGAATAGTGTTACCGTAGATTAGGTAGAGGGAAGTAAAAGGAGGGAAGCGGAGGGGAGGTATGGATAGGAAAGATAGTAGAATGAAACAGACATTATTACTTTATGTATATATGTGACTGCATGACCAATATGATGTACACTACATGTACATCTACAACATGTACACTCAGAAAAATTAGAAATTATATCACATCTATGTATATCAAAGTGAATAAATGCATTCTACTGTCATGTATAATTAAAACAAAAAAGTTAATTAAAAAAAGAATCACTTGGGATACTTATTAAATGTTACAGTTTGACTTTATCCTTTCTGTTGAACTCTATTTCCAAAACCATCTGTGATGAAAGACCAGTCTTCCCCCAGTCTGTCATTATTATGTTATTTATAATATTTTGAAATGTGTAATAAAAATGAATTACAAGAAAATAAAATGGAGAAATAAAGCAAAGACATTAAAAAATTAAATCCTAGGAGCTGTGGATGTATCTCTGTGTAGAACACTTGCCCAGTGTACAGGAGGCCCTGGGTTCAATCCCCAGCACTATCCAAAAAAAAAAGGGTCCTATTTTTTCACTATTAGATTCAACTAACATAAAATGATTGCCAAATATCTATAAAAGTCTTTGACACTCGTTTCTGTACTTGGTGTGAAACAATATCTGTCTGTGCATGACACTCAAGAAAGCATTGCCCTGAGGATCTGCATATTTCAGAAGCACCCCATATGATGTAAATGCAGCTGTGGTATGTGAACCAATTTTCGAGAGGAAATAATGCTTCTAATTTATATATAAAAATGGCTTTGTTAGAGCCATAAAACTATAGGAGTAAATTTATATTTAAAAAAAAAAAAGATTTTACATCTAGAGCAGTGGTTTTCAAACCTGCTGTAGATGTCAAGTCTTTAGAAAAGGATCTACTCTGGGTGTAGTGGCACATGCCTGTAAGCTCAGCAACCAGGAGGCTGAGACAGGAGGATCACAGGTTCAAAGCCCCAGCAATTTAGCGAGGGCCTAAGCTTAAGTTTAGCAAGATCCTATCTCAAAATAAAAAGGGCTGGTACATCATAGTTCAGTGTAAAGCACCCCTGGGTTCAATCTCCAGTACAAAAAGAAAAAAAATGGATTCACTCATGTTTCTTAAGAGTTTTCATAAATTTTTAAAACTTACTGTATTAATGTATTTCTGGAGAAAACAAAAACATTCTGGAAGACAATAGTTTGAGTTACTGAAAGTGTGCTCTCCAAATGTATTAAATGTTACTATTCAGAACTAAGAGGAAGAGTCATAGATGGTGGTTTTACAAGATTTAATTAGACTGTACATTTTTCCAGATAAATAACCTTTTACTAATTTGGGTATATTTGCAATGGATAACCTGATGATGTCTTTACAGGGGCTTATCTCCTGCAGAAGCAGAATTTAATTACCTGAACACAGCACGTACCTTAGAACTCTATGGAGTTGAATTCCACTATGCAAGGGTAAGTGAAGAAAATAAATTTCAATGTTGTTGAATTAAGCTTCATTACTCAGTATCAAAAATACTGTAATGCCTTGAAAGGCTTAGGTAACAGATGAAATAACTTACAATTGCTGTTGACATAGTAGAACTGAAAATTTCTTCTGAATATAAATATTTTTTGCAATAACATTAAGACTGTTAAAGTGCACTTTTCATGGTTTTTCTTCCAGAACGTGTTTTATAAAGATAGTTTTTGTAGACTATAGGAGATAGACTTAGAATATTTAGTCTATAAAGTAAAGGTTAAGTTATAAGAAAAGTAGTCTTTTTACTCTTTGATAATCATCATAAAAATGTTTTCACAACACTGAGACTTGTATTGCTGAGCTTGATTTTCATTATTTCTAGTATCGTAAATTTTTATTTATAAAGCACAAAATGGAGCATAGTAACATGTTTTGTTTTTATCTGCCCCAGTCCCTTTATTAACTTAGAATTTACAAATCACTGGCTTTTCCTGTACAACACTATGTAACCTCTTTTTTCCTTGCATCAAACTGTTCATCCTATGAAAGACTGTTAACTTCTTGTCATAACATAATTCTGTGTAGCTATTCTTCATTTGTGGCTCTATTCCTTCTTGTGTTTTTTTTTTTTTTTTTTTGTCAAGAGGTTATATATTCCTTTAGAAGTACCTGGAGTATAGCTGTTCTCAGTGGAATTATAAATAATCATTGGTTGATTTAGAAATAGGGTTTATATTCTCTCAGGACAGACTGTTGAGCCTAAAAAGGATATCAATCTGAAAAGGAGTTAAGGAATTATTTTCCTTAGGTAATTATTTTGAGCACATTCTGTTAGTACCCACACATACACAGTTGCATAGTTGTTTCAAGTACTCAAAGTTTTGCTCCTCATAATGATTAAGCCATCTGACCGTGTTCTAGGAGAGGAGCTTTATTTCTTAACATTTCATAAAGCTCATGTCAGTTTCTTCCTTGGTGGTCAGAAGACTTGCTTTCTTCTGAGGAATGTATCTTGTAATTCTGAGTGTTATGACTTAGAAATCTGTTTTTTAGATTTCTATTTAAAATGTTAAGTCTTTCTGGAGCTTTTTGCTCTTTAAAATGCTCTTCTCTCTCTCTTTCCTTATTTGGGGTTTACAACTGTTGAACACGGTTTTCTAAAATGTAATAGTCAATATTTGTGCAACTAAATTTTGTTTTATATTACAATAAATTTACAGCTGTAGAACTTCAGATATGAGCTATGCTTAAAAATAAGACAACCAGCTGGCTTGTCTGTAATCTCAGCAACTCAGGAGGCTAAGACAGGAAGATCACAAGTTCAAAGCCAGCCTCAGCAATTAAGAGAGGTCCTAAGCAATTTAGCGAGACTCTGCTTCAAAATAGAAAATAAAAAGGGCTTGAGATGTGGCTCAGTGGTTAAGCACCCCTGGGTTCAATACCCAGTATAATAAAGCAAAAACAAAAACAAAAAAAAAAAGAAGAAGAAGAAGACCAACTAATGTGGTGTTGTACACCTGTAATCCCAGCTACTTGGGAGGCTGAGCCGGAGAACCATAAATTTGAGGCTAGCCTGGGCAACTTAGTGATATCCTGTCTCAAAAAATGAGTGTGTGCTGGGGATATAGCTCAAGCATTATAGCACCCCTGGGTTCAATCCCTAGCACACACAGCCCCCACACACAAAAAAAGACCACCAAAAACATTTTGCTCTTTTGTGTTGTTTTTGTTTGTTTTTTGTTTTGGAGTGTTTTTTTTTTTGGTGAGGGTTATAGTTGGGGTTAAACCTGGGGATTTCCATGTGTTAAGCAGTTGCTCTACCACTCCAGCCATTTTTGTTTCATTCTTTCTTTCTATCTATCTATCTATCTATCTATCTATCTATCTTTTAATTTTTGAGACAGGGTCTTCCTAAGTTGCCCAGACTGGCTTCCAACTGGCAATCCCTCCTGCCTCAGCCTCCCAGTAGCTGGATTACAGACACACATCACCATTCCCAGCTCCTTCGCAGTTTTCTAAATATAGTTTTATGTCTGCTGAGATTACTGACAATGAAATAAGAAGAGTGGTAAACTTTCATCTTTTCACTTGTATTATAAGACTAAATAAATTTCATATATAATTTACCATGTTATTATTTATTTATTTGACTAAGGTAGTTTTTCTTTGTTTAAATTATTAGATTATAAAACTGCTTCTCTGAAAGCCCTCAATATGGAGGACAATATTAAAGAAGTTTAAATTTGAAATTGTCAAAAGTTATTTAGATGTGTATTTTGCACAACTCCCCACATCCCCTCCCTACAAAAAAGAAAAAAAAAAAGACCGACAGGAAAGGGTTTTTTTTTGTTTGTTTGTTTGTTTTTTGTGAATACTAAGACCTTAAGAAGTCAATGTGCAGATGTTCAGTGAACATGAAGAGAATTTTTGTGGCATCAGAAACAAAAGAATAGCCTATATGGTGGCGCACACTTGTAATCCCAGAAGCTCAAGAGTCTGAGGCAGGAAGATCCTGAGTTTAAAGCCAACCTCAGCAAAAGCGAGGCACTATGCAACCCATTGAGACCCTGTCTCTAAATAAAATACAAAATAGGGCTGGGGATGTGGCTCAGTGGTCAAGTGCCTGAGTTCAATCCCTGGTAACTTCCCCCCTCACCCCTCCAAAAAAGAGCATAAGGTAGATGAGGGAGGAGCATAAAAGAGGAAACCTAAGCTTTAATTGAATATCAGAAGCAAAATATTTTATTTTGGCAAGCAAGGTAAATTATTTTTTTTTCTGCCTTCAAGTGGAACCAAGTTATTCATATCGAATTCCCAAGATTCATATAAATCTTAGTGCATTTATAGCAGTGGATCTGCTCTGTGCCTGGTACAATCTTAGCACTAGGATTATATCAGTTATTCCTGCCCTCATGGAACTCACACAATAGTGGGAGAAAGAAACAGACATATATTAGCAAATACATGAGAATATGAAGGAGAGAGTACCAAGTGCTGTGGGATCATACGGCAAGAACATCTAAACCCGCACCCCCACCCCCCACCCCCGCCCCAGGAAGAGAGGGTAGGGAATGCTTCTTAAAAGTAGTATGTTCACTTAAGTCAAAAGAACGAATAAGATTTTTCCAAGATAATGATTTTCACTGTAGAGTCATAAATAAAAACCTCAAATCAAGACAGAACATTGTGGGGACAAGTGTATGGAGTACTGCATACATGGCATATGTTAAGGGTGTCTGAGTGGCAGGGCACTCCTCTGTGCTAGACATGTGAGTGCCAAACAGCTTACCCTGTAGGCACAGCCCTGGGTGTGAGGCCCCGTGTTGCAGTCCAGCACTTCTCCACGGCCCACTCTTCAATTGATCGCTTCAAGGGCAGTTAGCAGACTTTGCATTGGTGGCTGCCTATAATCTGCTTAGCTACTGCCTGAGTATATATACATGGTATATATACATGGTACAATCAGACCTGCTTCCTGCTTGGTCTCTGGAGGTCTTGATTAGCAACTCCGCAGCCACACTCTCCTGTACCCTGTTCCATGGACCTCCTCTCTGAATAAGAGAGAGCCCACACAGAACATGACATATTTGAAAAAATAAAATTAATAGCAAGGAATATCATAGGAACTAAGTTTAATTTTTTATAAAGAATTTTTGATCTCTTCAAAGGGAAAAGGCATTATCTCAGTAGAAACTGCTGGCCTGATTGAAATATCTTACTTTTTAGATGAATAGTGGATCAGTCATTCAACACCTATCAACTTTCCTTGAAAATCAGTCAATAACTATTACACTAAGAAAATAGAATAAAAGAATGAAAGAGAGCTGTGATAATATCTAAATCATGAATCATCAAACTCTTCTCTTTCTCTCTTATTTTGTATTTGGGATTAAACCCAGGAGCTCTTTACCACTGAGCTACATCCCCAGCCCTTTTTAAATTTTTTATTTTGCTGGGTCTCACTAAATTGCTGAGATTGTCCTTGCAATCCTCTTGCTTCAGTCTCCCATGTCACTGGGATTACAGGTGTGTGCCGTTGTATCCGGCCTCAATCTCTCTTGTAGAATGTTCACATATTAAGAAAAAAAAAAAGAGGGATTATATTAAAAAATTACTGTTTCCAAATTATCTACAGGTAAGCATAATTATGTTTTTAGTTAGGTACAGGAGGCTTTCAATCAACCCTAAAAAATTCTAACCAAGTTTTAGGCTTAATTATGAATCTTATTTCCATAAGTATTTGTAATAGTGATAAAGATAATTCTACTAAAAAGGAATCTTTGCTCTTCAAAGCTTCAAGAAAAGATTTATGATTTATGATGGACCTTTATTTTTATTTATTTATATGCAGTGCTGAGAATCAAACCTAGTGCCTCACACGTGCTCGGCAAGCCCTCTACCATTGAGCCACAACCCCAGCCCTTATGATGATATTTTTAATTTTTTTACTCTTTGGTGAATATGTTTTGAGTGCCTACTGTGCTCCAAGTCCCATGTATAGCCATTATGGATACAGCAGTGAGAAAAGCAGATAAATTCCAACCCTCAAATGCTTCATTCTAGTTGGCAAAACAAGACTATCAACAACTAATTATATCAGAGTGAATAGTCTGATTCCATGAAAGTAAAGTTCAGTGATAGGCAAAACACCTGTTAATATTGATAGAAGTCAGAATAACAGTCATCTCTGGAGTAGTATTATTAACTAGGACACTCATGAGGGAACCTACTGAGTTTTTAAAAATGTGATATATATTAGTGGTGGTTAAATATTAATGTATATAAGTGTGAAATTTCAAGTTGGACATTTAAGATTTGTGCATTTTATAATGTATATATTTCAGTTTTTTAAAAAGGTAATTAGATAATAGGTCAGATAACCAATAGGTGCTACAAAGAAAAATTAAACTAAGGAAGGAATTTAGTCAACCAAATATAAAGTATCCATTTAAGCCTCACTGAGAAGGTAAACAGACCTGAGGAAGCTATACATATGTCTAGGGGTTAGGGGGAGATAATTATTAGCAAAGGAAACAGCAATCGAAGGTGATGAAATAGTGTGGGTAGCAGTTCAGGTGACAGCAAAAAAACGAATTTGTCTTGGGGTTGTGTGAGGAAGGCAGGAGAATATTAGGAAATGAGGTCAAAGCAGACCAGGACTTTAAAAACATCTTAAAGACTTTGGCCTTTAATTTTAAGAAAGTTCCTTATAGGGTTTTTGGATATTTTTAAAGATAGGCTATGATTTTACATTTTTAAAAGAAATTCATGGCTATTCTGAGAATATATTGTAAGACACTAAAGGAAGGGACCAGTAAACAGACTGTTAGATTTACCAGGCATAGTGGCACATACCTATAATCCCAGGAGCTCAGGAGGCTGAGATAAGAGGATCACAAGTTCAAGGCGAGCCTCAGCAATTTAGTGAGGCTCTAACCAACTTAGTGAGACCCTGTCTCAAAATAAAAAACAAAAATGGCTGCTAGGGATATTACTCAGTGGTAAAGTGTCCATGGGTTGAATCTTCAGTACAGAGAAAAAAAAAAAAAACGTCGAGATGGTTATGGTGATCTAGGTGAGAAAAAATGGTGGTTGTAGCAGTGGGATAGTAAAAAGTAATCAGTAAGTGAAAAACCAGGCAGAGCAGGTTTCAGAATTAGTCTTGGGACATGTTAAATTTGAGAAGACTTTTACAAGTCCAAATGAAGAAGGATAGACAGTTCATATAGATCTGGAGTTCAGAGGAAAAGTTTGAGCTTGAGATACAAATTTGGGGATTGTTAGCTTATAGATGATATTTAAGACTGCAGGATAAGAGACCTGGGAGAGGTGGGGCTGGAGTTGTAGCTCAGTGGTGAAGCACTGCCTGACATGTGTGAGGCACTGGGTTCAAGTCTCAGCACTGCATATAAATAAATGAATAAAATAAAGGTCCACCAACATCTAAAACAAATATTAAAAAAAGAAAAAAAGAGCCCTGTGGGAGCAAATACTGTAGATAACAGAAGAGATCCTCAAAGCTGGAACACTTCAAAGTTTAGAGGTTGGAGATGAGGAAGAATAGGAGATCAAGAAGGAAAAGCCATTTGGATAGAAAGAAATTTTTTTTTATGTTAAAGATACAATTGTGTGTCTTTAGAGTCAGTTGAATCAGGGGTGGTCTACTGCATCAAATGATGCTTTTAGGTCAAGTAAGATGAGAACAGAGAACTGAATTAAAAATGTGGAAGTCACTGGTGACCTTATAAAAGCAAGTTTGGACTATAGCCACAGGATGATTAGAGAATTTTCAAAAAAGATTGTGAGGACAGTAATTTTGAGGAATTCTACAGTCCACAACATAGGTAATAACAACAGGAAACACCAATGTGGCATTTACTAAATGCCAGACACCCTTCTTAGGGCATTACATGTATTAATATCCTTTAATCCTTCAAACAGCCCTCTGAGGTGGGAATATTTTATTGCCCCTTTACAGATGATACACAAAAAAAGTTAATTTGCATTACCTTCTAATACCTATTTCTGTGTTTAAAAACCAACCTATATCTTTTTTCTAAAGCTTTTTTTTTTTTTTTTTTTTTTTTGGTACCAGGGATTGAACCCAGGCCCTTTAACCACTGAGCCACATCCTCAACCATTTGTATTTTTTATTTTAAGACAGGGTCAGGCTGGGATTGTGGCTCAGTGGCGGAGCACTTGCCTGAGGGTGCTGGATTTGATTCTCAGCACTACATATCAATAAATAAAATGGAGATCCCTTGACAACTAAAAAAAAAAGACAGGGTCTAGCTAAATTGCTGAGGCTGGCTTTGAGTTTGCAAAGGATTATAGAAATGCACCCTGCTAAAGCCTCATTTTTAACCTACATATATTTGAAGACTTTTTGGCAGTTTGGTTAGAATAATCAAATAATGTAAAAACATAATTTGGAACAAGCAAAGAACCTCTTCTGTCAGTATAGAGGTATACATATGACTTCCATCTATGTCCCCCTAAAGTATTCAGAACAAAATTTTCCATAATTCTGCTTCACATTTGCATCATCTTTTTTTTTCACCTGACTTTCTTTGGGAAATATGATGTGTAAATGTGTAATAATTGCTATTTGGATTTGTAATTATAGCATGATTCTATAATATCTTTGAAAATGTCACATTGTATTGAAACTAATCCTGTTTAAAAAATATATTTCTAACAACTAAAGCTATTGTTTTAGATTGGTCATGTATTTCTTTTGAAGGATCAAAGTAACAATGAAATTATGATTGGTGTGATGTCAGGAGGAATTCTGATTTATAAGAACCGGGTACGAATGAATACCTTTCCATGGTAAGAACCTCATTAATGCTTTTGTTTTTACCACTATATTACCAAATATAATAATTTGTGTTAAGTAAAGGTGTATTAACTTTTTTTTTAAATTTATTTTTTAGTTTAGGTGGGCACAATATCTTTATTTTATTTTTATGTGGTGCTGAGGATCGAACCCAGTGCCTTACTCATGCCAGGCGAGAGTGCTACCACTTGAGCCATATCCCCAGCCCAAGTATGTTAACTTTTTAATGTCAGTTTTCTTAGGTGGTGCAGCTTATACTTTATCCTGTTTACTTGGAACCTTCAAGAAAAAAAACTAAAATTTGTTTATTTTAAAATGGCTACATAAAAATATTACTAATGAAATTTTTCTTAAAGAATCTCTAACTTCATACTGCAGCATTATTAGAGCATTTACTTTGTGTCTTCTACCATGTTAAGAGCTCTAAGTACAGTATTTCATTTAAATGCATCCATTGGAATCCTAGTTTATTGTTGAAACAAAAATGGATGTAATCTCTCTGGAATATCTTATAAGCCCCATGATATTTGAAATGGTTTTTATAGGGCGAATAGGAATTTTCTCAGTTGAAAGGGAAATGTGGAAGAGGCAGCAAATATAATAGAGTTTATTTAATGCGTATAGAGCATTCAAGATAGGAGTACCATTTGTGAGGCCTGATGACGAGTTCATTAATGGAAGGATACTTGAGTTGCTTTTTCCTTCCTTCGTTTGTTTTGATTGAGAAGAAAATAAGAATTTAGGAATATATTCCTTAAGGAAGAAAAAGGACTCAGACTTATACGTCTTACATGCTAAGGAGTTGATTTTTATTTTATAGCTACATATAGTGAGAGTTAAAGTTGAGACATAGAACTTATATTTCCAGTTCTTTAACAGACCATTAGGTTAAAAATAAAAGTAGCAATGAGGATGTGAGTATTTAAAGTATCAGGTGGAAAATAAACAGTGTGGATTTTTACATTTTATTTTTAAAAATTACACTAAATAGATGGGATTTAAAGGTGCTAAAGCTACTAAGTCTGCCTCATTATGAAACATGAGGATTTCTTCTGAGCTTACTAATCAAAGCAGTACATAATATAATATTAGGGAAATATTTACAATTTGGTAACAAGAAGCCATGATTTAAGATCCAATATATATGTATTTTTTTCTTCATTTTTGGGAATCAAACTCAGGGCCTTGCACATGTTAGGCAAGTGATTATACCACTGAACACAGCCATTCCAAGTATCTTTGATAATCATCAAATTTTTGAACTTATTTTCACAAAAGCAAATACTTCTCACAAGTATCATTTGTGAATATGGATTATATTCATCTCCTAACCATTATCAAATTGGTATTTATGGCATTGCCATTGCCTTTAAATTTATATTTTAGCAAGTACTGCATAAATTTACTTTAGGAAACCATAAAGTCACTTTATGAGTACTGATAATGATGATGACTATAATAGCTTTCATTTCAGGAACTTTATTTCATGTAATATCTCAAATAAGATGCTTAGGCCACAAATTAAAATGGTGTAGATACCAAATATATTCATGAATGAAGAGTTTAAAACTGATAGAAAAAAAAAATCACTCATGAATTTCAATCCATTTATCTGTAATTTAGAATTCTGCAAGTTTGGTAATTATTATAATTTTTTTTAACAAATAAGGAGAAACGCAGGAGAAATTGGGTGGGCCTTAAATTAAATAACTGGTAAGTATGAAGCAGAGCTTTAAACTCATTTCATTTACCTCTTCTCTCAGAATTAGACCTACATGTAAAAAGAGAGTACCACATAATAAATATGCTCTCTCGTGTCCATTTTCTATATATGATTATCCCCCCAGCTCAAGTTTATACTTTAAATTTGTTGAATAACAAATTGGAGATATGTAGATTCTTTAAATTAGACTTCTTCAGAATGAATATCAACCAGGAGGCATCATTAAGACAATGAAAAGAGAGAGTTCTGATTTCCAGTCTGACAGGTAAAAAGCTTAGATGTTCACACTTCTGTCCTCACAACAAGAAAAAAGCTAATAACAACCCCAAACCAACAACTTTTAAGATTCTTCAGAGAATCAAGGACACTGCTGTTTTGAAAACTGGAGTGGCAAATTAATACAGAGAATAATCAAGGTTAGCAAACTACTAGAGCCAGAACTGTTAGGAATACTTAAAGGGTCGTTGTCTAATAGCTAGATACCGAGTTTTGACTAGATAAAGAAATAAAAAATTTCTGGGGGATCCAGACTTAGGAAAACCTCCAGACTTTCATGAGTTTTCATGCCTCTCCGGGTTCTCATGGTGAAGAAGGAAGAAAAAAATCCATTTATGGCAGCGGGTGGGGGAAAGTAAACATTTTAAAACCACTTAGAGCTTTCTGTTCTCCTTAACAAGGCCTGCCCTCAGAAACTATTTTGCCAGCACTTAAACAACATGAGTTCTATCAGAACCTTACCAAAATGGGGGATGGCAATTATCCAACTCAGACTCCTCCTGCTTTCTTGTCTACCTAAGGAGGGTCATAAGGAAGAGGCAGAAACCACTAAAGAACTGAGACGTAATCAGGATTAAAGAATGGTTTCCCCGCTGCCTGTACCTTAACAGTCAGTGAGGCTCCTCTGTAATAACAGTATTATAACTGAAGTAACTGCAAAGCTCAGACTGTTTAAAGTTTACCTAGGGAAACCTAAGACAATAGGGATAACAAAAACACAGATACTAGAGGAAATTTAACCTCAGGTCTACAGTTTGTTTACAACAAACTATAAACAGCCTTTCCTCTTACCAGATAAATAAGAACCTCCACTAAAGGGATATTTGCCCTAGTTCCACTTACCCCTGTATATCACATCAGGCATTCATCAATCAATTACAAAGCATTGCTGAAAGGCAAAAAACAAAACCAAAAAACAGAAGAGGCAAAGGCAAGCACCAGAACCAGATTCAGGTATCTCAAAGATTTTAGGATTATATCACAAATTTAAAGTAACTAATTAGGGGTTGGGGTTGTGGCTCGCCAAGCATGTGTGAGGCCCTGGGTTCCCTCCTCAGCACCACATAAAATAAATAAAATAAAGGTATTGCATCCAACTACAACTAAAAAATAAGTTAAATAAATAAACTAATTAGTATGTAAGGACTTCAATGGAAAACTTACACAGTATGCAAAATCTGATGAGTAATGTGACCAGAGAGATGGAAACCCTGTCAAAGAATCAAAGGAATTAGGAACACTGCAAAAGGAGTGAAGAATGCCATGGGTTGTCTCATTGGTACATTGTATACAACTGAAATATAGTCACTGACCTTGAAGATATGTCAGTATAAACTTCCCGAACTGGAAAGCCAAGAAGAAAAAGAAAAAAAGCAGTTAAGATAGATAATGAGACTACCAGAAGGAGAATTTGAACAAAAGAAGTAGTGTTTGATACCTTTCTAAAGTTAATGACAGCCACCCAGCCACAAACCCAGAAGTTCAGAGAATATCAAACAAATTAAATACCCTCCGATTCTAGAGCTACACACAGCATATTCATACTTTACAAAGTCAAAGAGAAAGAGAAAAATCTCAAAAGAAGCAAATGTCAACACCTTCATCAAGGAACAAGGATAAGAAACCATGTAAGCAGGAAGAAAATGGAATAAAATATTTAAAAGTGTTGCAAGAAAAAGCTCACAAACTTAGAAGTCTGTAATTACCTTCAGAAGTGAAATAAATAAAACTTTCTCAGACAAAAATTGAGGGAGTTTGTTGCTAGCAACCCTGCCTTGTGAGAAATGTTAAAAGAAGTTCTCCAAAGTAAAGGAATTTTCAAATTGAAATTATCAAAATGGTTTTTTTTTTTAACAACTTCACTGCTACAATTTACATACTCTAAATTTGCCTGTTAAAGTATAGTTCAGTGGTCTGTAGTATATTTACAGGTACAACATAATTTTACTCTAATTTTGAATCATTTTTATTACCCCCAAGAGATAATCTTGCAACCATTAGGAGTCATTCCCCATCACTAGACATGGCAATCACTAATCACTTTTTTCTCTATAGAAGTTTCCTGTGTTGGATATTCCTTTAAATGAGATCATATGCTATATGGTCATTAGTGACTGAGTTCTTTCATTTAACATAATGTTTTTGAGGTTCCTGCTGAATAATATTCCATTCTGTGGTCATATACCACATTTTGTTTATCAGTTCATCAATCACTCTATCTTTTGGCCATTAGGAATGATGCTGCTACGAATATATGCGTACAGGTTTTATGGACACATGTGCTTTCATTTCATTAGGGCATACACAAAGGAATGGTTTTGCTGAGTTTTCAATCATGGCTGCATTATTTCACATTCCAAAGGGCAGCATATGTATGTTCAACTTCACCATATTCTCCCCTGTGGTGGTTGTTGTCTGTCTTTTATATGACAGTCATTCTGGTGGATGTAAAGTATTTATAATTTTTATTTGCATTTCTCTAATGTCTAGTAATGCTGAACATTTTTTCAAATGTTTGTAGTTCTTTCATCTTTTCTGGATTATTCAAACTGGACTTTTACAAAAACAGTCTACATACTGTCTACTAGAGATATATCAAAAGCATAAAGAGACAGAATGGTTGAAAGTAAATGCATTGAAAAAGATAAACCAAGAATATAGAAACCAAAAGAAAACTATTATAGCTATACTATTATTTGACAAAATAGGTATTTCAAAGTCCTTTTATTCATTGTTTAATTATATAAAAAACTATTATGCCTATGTATAGAATAAAATCATATAGAATGTCTTTAAAAGAAAATACAAGTTGTATAAAATAAATTTTATGCCAAGGAGTAACCAGTGTAAGAATTTCTATTTATTCCTTGTTTGATGTTTTTCTGGGTTTTTAAAATTAATATGATTTGAAACTGGGTTAGATTTCCTGTATACTGATCATTTAGAAATGAATAGAGTTTTGTTTGTTGCTTTTGTGACAACTCCTAATAGAAATTCATTTATAACTTCTAAAATATATGTACCGCTTTTAGGATTTTTAAAATGAGGTACCTGGTTTTCTTTTTTCCATAAATACAGTTTGTTTTACATAGTCTTTTTTTTTTTCTTGACTTTCTAGAACTAACGTCCTCTGTCATATGACATAAGAATTTCCCCATGTTGTGGGGAAGCTCTGAATGTAAAAATAAAAAACAAAAAATTTTAAGCCTAAAAACTAAACATAAACCAGTAAGTGCATTGGCACACACCTGTAATCCCAGGGACTTGGGAGGCTGAGCAGGAGGAGCACAAGTTTGAGGCCAGCCTCAGCACCTTACTGAGACCCAGTCTGAAATTAAAGAATAAAAAGGGATGAGGATGTAACTCAGTGGTAAAGTGCCCCTGGGTGCATTCCTTAATACCAAACAAATAAACAAAAATACCACTAAGCATATATTTTCTTTCCTATTCTAAACTAGTCATGCTCGAAGCTGACTCATTCATTTGCCTCCCCAAATGATTTGAGGTGTGAGAAATCTATCTGGGAATGCCAAGAGCTTCTTGGATGGATAGGGCCATGAGTTATGAAGATCAAAATTTAGAATCAACATGAAAAAAAATGTATTAGAAGATTGGAGCAGGATCCCACAGAAGTTTTCACTAAATAAATTTAATGCCTTTGGCCTTATGACCAGGTCTTAAGGTCAAAAAGTATCTTGAGTCTTAACATATTACATATGGTTATAATAAAGAGACACATCAGTTTTGCTCATATTGATTTCACTAATGGAACTTTGAGGATGCATACCATTGTGGATTTCATATGAGAAGAAAAGTAACATAGAAAGGTGAAATAAAAAAAATATTTATGCCTTGTAGTGGGGGGTGGTACTGGGGATTGAACCTAGAGCTTTGAAAATGATAGGCAAGTACTTTACCAGCGAGCTACATTCTCAGCCCCTTTTTAAAATTTTATTTTGTGATGGGGTCTTGCTAAGTTACCCAGGCTAGCTCCAACTTGAGATTTCCTGCCTTAGTCTCCTGAGTAGCTGGGATTATCAGCAAGTGCCACTGTACTAGTTTAATTAAGCTTTTTAAAGTCAAATAAAAAAATGGTTCTAGGGTCATTGCACAAAGCTGAAATTTTACATTTTATCAGTATTGCTTGTAATTTTAAGGAGTAAACTACACCTATTTTATTGATACTTCTTGAGGTTTTTTTCTTTTTTGTTGTTGTTGTTGTTGTCATCGTTCACTGTTGAGTGCTGGGGATCTAACTCAGGGCTTCCTCCATGCTAGTTGGCAAGCACTCCACCACTGAGCCACATTCACAGTCCTATTTTTTGAAATTTTAATTTGTGACACTTAAGTATTTCTGTACATATAAAATTGGGAAATGGATATTTTGCAATTAGATATTTTGATAAAATTTTCTGTAGTTGAACCCATAGATTTTAACTAGTTTTTCATGAAGCACCAAAAACTTCAGATTTTTTTATATTCTGTGTGTATGTATAGAATATATGATAAGATGTTTAGATATTAGAAAATATAAATTTATAAGATCATTTTATAGATACTTTCTTTTGGGGATGGGTGGATACCAGGGGTTGAACTCAGGGGCAATTGACCACTGAGCCACCTCCTAGACCTATTTTGTATTTTATTTAGAGACAGGGTCTCACTGAGTTGCTTAGCACTTGACTATTGCTGAGGCTGGCTTTGAAACTGAGATCCTCCTGTCTCAGCCTCCCAAACCACTGGGATTACAGGCCTGTGCCACCGTGCCCGGCTGTTCTATAGATACTTTCTTAATTTGTTAATATTTTTCTCTTTATTCAATATTTTAAATGCTCTAGTTTGTTCTCTTTTGTACAGGTTGAAGATTGTGAAGATTTCTTTTAAGTGCAAACAGTTTTTTGTTCAGCTTAGAAAGGAATTGGTAAGTATTGGTCTAATAATTATTGATATAAATGAAGTAAGTCTCTTATGAAATGCCCAGTCATTAATGATAGAATTTTTCTACCATTATAAGTACAATTAATACTGTTGATAACTCTCTATTAAGGTAAATGAATTCACTTTTTATGACCAGATGTATTTGTTTCTTCAGTGTTTCTGTGGTTCTGATTTAAAGTTCTTCTAGACATTCTTTCTGTTCTTTCCTCTACTCACAAACTGATTTCTAACACATGATATTCATTGCCCATCCCCAGGTTCCATTCCTAAGAGCAATAGCTGAACATTTTCTATGGCCTTCTCCTTTTTTCTATTAAATCCACTGCATTTCATTTCATACATAAGTTCATTTCATTTTTGGAAAGCTGAGCGTTTCGTTTATAATTCGTGAACACATAGCACATTTCCTCACTGTGTTGAAGTGATAATGGCCTTTTTCTATGTTAAGTATAAGTTGAGTTGTCATGGAAAGTACAGTGTTGGAAACAATTTTTCATTGTAAGTGATTATCTATTTCATCAAATTAACCTTTTTATTTACATTATTTCTTAGAAATCTTTGCAAATTAATATAGATTTCAAGATGGACGTGAGTGTGTGTGTGTGTGTAGAATGTATTCGAAACCTTAATGTATTTGAATCCACTGCATTTTATCAGGATATCAATCTAATCTGTGGCTGTTCATTTATGTTCACAAAATGTAGAGTTTTCCTAATCAAATTTCTATTGAAGTTAAAATGTAGCACAAAAAAGTACATGGGGTGTGTGTGTTTGTGTGTTGTTGGCAGTTGAACCCAGAGGTGCTCTACCACTGAGCCACATCCCCAGCCCCCCCTTTAAAATTTTTTTTTAGTTGTAGATAGACAAAATACCTTTATTTTATTCATTTATTATTTTTATGCAGTGCTGAGGCTCAAACCTAGTGCCTCTCTTGTGCTAGACAAGTGTTCAACCACTGAGCTACAACCCTAGCCACCCAGCTCTTTCTTTAAAAAAAATATAGATAGATAGATAGATAGATAGATAGATAGATAGATAGATAGATAGACATGTATTGAGAATCAAATCTAGTGCTTCACACATGTTAGGCAAACGCTCTACCACTGAACCACAATCCCAGCACCCCCTCACCGCCCAGCCCTTTTATTTTATTTTATTTTATTTTCAGATAGGGTCTCACTAAGTTGCCAAGGCTGGCTTTATACTTGGAATCCTCCTGTTTCAACCTCTTGTGTTGCTGGAATTACAGGCATGTACCCAGCTAAAAGTATGATTTTTAAATTTACAACTTGAAAACATAAACACATCCATTTCAACATCTTCCAGATTAATAACACAGAACATTACTAGTACCCCAGAAGCTGGTAATGTTGCTAATGGAACTGAGGCCCACTTTCAGTCATTAACCCTTCTAAAAAGTAAACAACCTTCTCATCTGTATCACCATGGATTAATTTGCTTATTTTTGAACCTAAAATATGAAGTCTTATCAACCATTTTCATGTTATTCAGTATTTCTTCTCAGATAGTATATCAGTTAGGAATGTGTTTTCCTATAAGTAACAAGAGCAACAAAAGTCAACTAGTATTTGATTAAAGGCAGTATACAGGTATATTCTGCAGAAGGTCACCCTTGCTAATGTTTTCTCCTTAAAACATCTCTTTGTTTTTAAATACCCAAACTTTAGAGAATGTGCTAATCTCTCAGTATAACCTTTTGTGTTCATTCTTTTCAAACTGTATGGGAAAATTTTTTGTTACATTCCAAATACAATGAGTAGCATATGACGAGTACATGGACAAGTGTCAAAAAAGGGGAGTATATATGCATCTTGGATCTTGCTGACACAGAGAGACATTACTATGTCATATTTACTGTCTGTCATTTTGCCCAATGTTCATGGTACATGTTATACATACTGTATGTGTTACTACATACAAAGCAACTAATAATCATAACTAAGATTAATTTTCTGGTGGTCAAGAAATGATGTTTTAAGCATATTAACTTTATACATGGTACTGTATTATTTACACAGACATTTTACAGTGATTTAGTTATGGAAAACTGCTTCATGACCTTTTTTTTTTTAAAAAAAATATAGTATTGAGGATTGAACCCAAGGGTGCTTTTCCAGTGAGCTATATCCCTAGCACTCCCCCCCTTAAATATTGAGACAGGGTCTCACTAAGTAGCTGGCCTTGAACTTAATGATCCTCCTGCCTGACCCTCCTGAATTGCTAGGATTGGAGACATGTACTACAGCTTCTGGCTCTCTTTATGATCTTTGAATGGGGAAAGATTTGTAGAATAGTACATACAAGGAAATCTTCTTAACCTTAAACATAAAAATTGATAAGATAGGCTGTTATAGTTAATAACTCTTCATCAAAAGAAATCATTAATAACAGAATATGTATTTCTCTCTCACACACACACTCTGTCCTTAGTTTTAAATGCAAGCCAATAGAAAAATAAACTAGTAACTTGAACTACACTTCACACAAGAGAGTGTATCCACATGGCCAGTAACGTGAAAAGATATTGAACCTCATTAGTCATCAAGGAGGTACAAATTATAACCAAAGTGTGCTGCCTTTGGATACTCACCAGAATATTAAAATGAAAAGGACTGATAAACCAGTGGTTGGTGAATATATGGAGCATACACAATTTTGGGGTTTTATGTAGTAAAGCTCAACATACTCGTATCTATGATCCATCAACAGAAAAGTGTTCAAGTGTACACCAGATGACATACAGAAGTATACATAGCAGCATTACTCTTGTCCCCTCAGACTGGAATCATCAAGTGTCTATCAGCAGTAAAGTGGATAAGTATCTGTAGTGTGTACATTTCCAGTAGAATACTATGAAGAATAAAAATAAATGAGTTACTGCTTCACAGCTCTGTAGATGTATACGGAACAAAAGTAAATATAGCATTAGATTCTGATGTTTTTTCTGATATTCTCTGCATTTTTGGTTTATTACAGCATGAATCTAGAGAAACACTACTGGGATTTAATATGGTGAATTACCGAGCTTGTAAGAATTTGTGGAAAGCATGTGTAGAACATCACACATTCTTCCGTTTGGACAGACCACTTCCACCTCAAAAGAATTTTTTTGCACATTATTTTACATTAGGTTCAAAATTCCGGTACTGGTAAGTACTACTGTTGTATTAAGAATTTTTTGTTAGATGTTTTTCCTCCCATGAAAGCAATTGTCTAGTTGATAGAACCATAGAATTATTGCTCCTCATACCTACCTTTGGAGTCCCTATGGAATGCAGCCCTTACATATGTATCAGAAAGTTCTATGTGTTCTTCAGAGATTCATCAGGCTTCAGAGACCCATTCTATTGACTTTATTTCAGGTCCTTATTATCTAAAGTAAATTAACCACATTAACTTATTTATAGTCTAGACAGGGGTTAGATTTCCATTGTCTCTTTACTATTTAAGTAAAAACTTCTCTTTGTTCAGGCACATTTATTTTATTTGTAAAAATTAAGATAGATTCTGCATGAGTTTATATATTTTTTTAAATTTATAATTTAGCATATTTCTGAGTTGTTAAACCATCTATTGTAAAGAGTTCAGAACAATCATTAGGCAAAATCAAGTTTAGTTGTTGAACAAGAACTCCGGGGTTTCTTTTCCCTACAAGTGTCTTATTTATTATTTCTTAAATCATTTTTATTTTTAATGGACACATAATGGGGTATAATGTAATATTTGATACCTATAAAATATGTATAATGATCAGATCAAGGTAATTGGCATATTCATCACCTCAGACATTTATCAATTATTTTGAAATGTACCATTAATTGTTGTTAGTCAGCATTATCCTATTGTGCTGTAGGACATTAGAAGTTATTTCTCCTATCCAACTGCACCCTTTGTCTTATTTATTCTTGACTGCTTTATTTTTTCCTGAAAGTCTTTGGGGGAGTAACTAAATTTGAAGAAGCTCTGATTGGTTTTATTTATGGAATTTTTAAAGGCCTTTAAAAGCTGGTTTTAAAATGAAACCAGATAAGACTTGTGTAGAAAAAGTTATTGATGATCTTCTAGTAAGACGAATATTACTGATTTTTGTCTGTTTCTGTTCACAAAATAAGATTTTTCTATCTTCAATAAATAAAACCCTTGACCATTATGTGATAGGCTGATTTTATCTTATATGTTCAGGAGAAAAATATTTAGAAGTGTCCTAACAAAATTTACATTGTAGGGACTGGGGTTGTGGCTCAGTGGTACAGTGCTTGCCTAGCACATATGAGACACAGGGTTTGATCCTCAGCACTACATACATACATACATACATACATACATACATACATAGCATTGTGTCCATCTGCAACTTAAAAAAAAATTTTTTTTAAATTTACATTGTAAATTATAGACATGTATAAATGCGCAGTTTGTAATCTCAGTAAAAAATAACAGCATGAAGTTTACTACAGAGTATATCACTAAAAATAGATGCCTGTCATCCCAAGAAAATGTAATAAAAGTGCACAAAAGTTTAGTAGCAACAATTAAACAGAATTAGGAAAATTTTAATTAAAAAAAAAACAGAATCTTCAGTGACTTAATGTTTTAACTCCTTTCTCACTTTCCTAAAAGCAATATTGAGAAAAATTATTTGCAAAATTAAAGGTAAGAAGTCTGAGGGTGAATGTGTGCAGTCAATAGTGAAAGTCAAGGGAAAATATTGAACCTTCCCTACAGAAAAAAAATCTCAAAGGCTCTAAGTTATTTGAAATGTGAGATCAGTATAAAACCAACCTAAGGGTGTTCTTCAATGAGTCTAATTCCAAAATGACCACTGGGGTAATCACCCAAATACTGACCTTACTTTCTGGTAGAACTCTTTTCTTTTCCCATATCCTTGCAGAAATATGTATCTGTCCATCCATTTCCCTCTCTCTCTCTCCCACCCTCCTCTCTCTCCATACACACCCATTTTACTTATGTGACAAAGAAATTAATAAAACACAGTAACCAAACTTCAACTACAATTCAAACAGGTCTCAGATAAGAAAAAATTCAAGAAAGTAATCCAAACCATACCGTAGGTCTAGATGTGATGAATACAAATAGAAGAGACAATTGAAGATACTATTGTGGAGAAGATCATCACTGACACCAAAAGAAATTTCTACCATAGACATTAATTTAAAAAAAAAAGTTTAAGAACTATTTTGAGGCTGGGATATCAGTGGCAGACAGCTTGTCTCGAACGTGTGAGGCACTGAGTTTGATCCTCACCACAACATAAAAATAAATAAATAATATAAAGGTATTGTGTTCATCTACAACATATATATACACACACACATAATATACATATACACAAAATATACATATATATTTTTTAAAAAAATAAACTCATATTTAAAAACAAAAAAAATATTTTAAGATTGGTGGAGAGAACATTAACTGCCATTTGACTGTTATTGCCCTTGGGAGAAGATTGATCTAGAATTGACAGACTTTATTCATTCAACAGAACTGAGATTATGGTCTATTAAGTGGAATCTGTACATTTTTAAAAATTGAATGAAATACTTTAAAATAGATTTATTGAGGTATTCACACATAGTAAACTACATTTAAAATTAATGTTTGAATCTCCATGAATCCTTCACCATAATCACAATAATAAGCATACCCATCACCCACAAAAGATCTATAATATTCCTCTGTGACAACCTTTCTTCCACCTTTTGTCCTCAGACAACTGCTGATCTGTTCTCTGTCTTTATAAATTTTCTAGGATTTTTATGTAAAGTGAAACATATTAAGTATTCTTTTTAGTCTTTAGTCAATCCACTTTTACTCAGGATAATTACTTTAAGATTCATCCATATTCTTGCCTGCATTTATAGCTCATTTCTTTTTATTGCAGAGTAATAGTCCATTGTGTAGATAAATAATTGGTTATCCATTTGATGATGAGAATCAAGTGGATTGTTTCCAGATTCAGGCTATTACAAAAAAAGCTACTGTGAACATGCATATGGAAGTCTTTGTATGGATATTTTCTTAGGTAAATACCTAAATGTATAATGGCCAGCTCATATGGTAGATGGCATGTTTAACTTTTTAAGAACTGTTGAACATTTTGTCCAAGCAGTTGTACCTTTGTGAACTTTCCTGCAGTGTATGCAGTGTACTTTCCTGCAGTGTAAGTTCTATTTTAGGACTGAGGGTGTAACCCAGTTGTAGGATACTTGTCCTAACATACATAAAACCCTGGGTTCAATTCCTCCCACCACCCAAAAAAATAGACTTCTAGCTCTACCAGGTCCTCAAAGATAATGCTTGCTGTTATCTTTTTAGTGTTTACCAGTATCAAGAGAGCAGATTTTAAATTTTGATGGAGTTAAGCTTATTAGTTTGTTCTTTTATCGACTTTTCTTTTGTTCTCATATCTAAGAAATATTTGCCTAATCCAAGGTCACAAAGATTTATTTCTGTTTCCTTCTAAGAGTTTTATAGTTTTTGCTCTTACATTTAGTTCTTACATTTAGGTGATACATTTGGATATAATTCTTATATTTGATGTGAAATATGGGTTGGAGTTCATTTTTTGAACATTTATATCTAGTTGTTCCTTTTCACTTTTGTCAAAAATGAGTAGCTCATTTGTATCGTCCTATTGTTGAACTTATTTTTTATTATTAGTCCTCCAGCTTTGCTCCTCTTTTAAAAGTTATTTTGGATATTCTAGCCACTTTGTATTTCCATTTGAATTTTAGAGTTTTTTTACCAATTTCTATGAAAAAGGGATTCTAATTGGAATCATGCCGAATCTGTATATCCATTTTTGGAGAATTGATATCTTAAAAATATAGGCTCTTCCAACTCATGAAGCATAATATGTGGTTTTCTTTTATTTCTCCAGCAATGTTTTTAGTTTTTCATGTACAAGTCTTGCATGTCTTTGTCAAATTTAACTTTACATATTTCATATTTTTATCCATAAATGGTATTTGTTAAATTTTGATTTCAAATTGATCGTTGCCATTAGAGGAAATGCAGTTGATTTTTTAATGTTGACCTTGTTTCCTGAAGCCTTGCTAAACTCATTTATTATAGGAGCGTTCTTATAGTTTCCAACAGATTTTTTTTTTTTTTTGTACCAAGAATTGAACCCAGAGGAACTTAACTACTGAGCCACATCCCCAGCCCTTTTTAATATTTATTTAGAGACAGGATCTCACTGAGTTGGTTAGGGCCTCGCTAAGTTGCTAAGGCTAGCTTTAAACTCATGATCCTCCTGCCTCAGCCTCCCAAGCCACTGGGATTACAGGTGTGTGCCACCGAGCCCAGCAGTTTCCAACAGATTTTCTACCTGTAAGGTAAAGATGGTTTTAGTTCTTCCCTTCTAATCTGATGCTTTTTCTTTTTCTTTCCTTATTGTTCCATCTGGATTACATGTTGAATAGTGTTGAATACAAGTGATGAGAGCAGACTTCCTTGCCTTCTACTTCATCTTGGTAGAAAGCATGTCATCTATTCACTGTGAACTATGATTTTGGTTGTAGGCTTTTTCTAGATGCCCCATATCATTCATGCATGTTAAAGAACTTCTTGTTTCTTCTTTCCTGAAAGTTTTTGTTAGGATTGTGTGTTGATTTTTGTTAAATGCTTTCTCTGTAATTATTGAGATTATCATATGGTTTTCTTTTCAGTTTGTTAATATTATCAGTTACTTTTTGAGTTTCAAGTGTCAAACCAGTTTTCTATTCCTGGGATAATGCTCTCTTTTTTATATGCTGTCTAAATAAACTTGTTAAAATTTTGTTTAGAAATTTTGCATCTGTGCTCATGAAGGATATTGGTATGTAGTTTTCTATCTTGTAGTGACATTGTCAGGTTTCTGTGTCAGGGTAATATTGGCCTTATTGAAGAAATTGGAATATCTCTATTTTCCTGGGAGAGTTTGTGTGGTAATGCTCTAATTTCCTTTGTAAATGTTTGATAGAATTTACTAATTAAACCAAATTACATTGTTATATTGTGTGCATGTATGAAGATATAGGAACAAATCCCACTGTTGTTTAATTATAATGCACCAATTAAAAATATGGGGGGAAAGTGGCATAAATAAATAATAGGCATTGCATTCCAATTGTGAAAGACACTTCACCAGCCTTGGATATTATTGATCTCTTTTGTGATTGCTAATAAAGGAGTTTTATTTATTTATTTTATTTTTTATGTGGTGCTGAGGATCGAACCCAGTGCCCTGTGCATGCTAGGCGAGCACTCTACCACTGAGCCACAACCCCAATGAGTTTTAAATAGTGAGAAAAGAAAAAGAATTTACCAATTAATCCTTCTGGCAGTTTTATTTCTTAGAACGTTTTGAATAAATGTCCAAAAATTTTAATAGATAAGACAGTCCTGAGCAAACTTTGGTAGTTTTTCTTTAAACAGATTTTCCCATTTCATGTAAGTTACTGGCTTTGTTAGCATAAGGTTCATAATGTTACCATTATCTTTTTAATATGTCCAGAATTTAGCAATGTTGCTTGTCTAATTGATATTGATAACTTGTCTTGCTAGAAGTTTATCTATTTGGATTAAATATTTTTTGAACAATGAATATGCCAAATGAAACTTGTCTTCGGGCTTATGTAGCTTGTGGACCACTCTTTGTCTCTGAAGTCCTAATGAAAATAAGAGACTAAAAAATATTAAGCTCACCCAGGTTGCCATTCAAGTCTAAAGTCAGGATGACATTATTCAGTATGTTAAACCTCATGTAATATAAAATCTCTGAGCCTTTGAAAAACATCTACTCATAGTAAAATTAAGCCAACCAAGAGATAAGTCAAAATAAGAAAAATTCTTCTCTTAGAATGAAGATTAAATCATTCAAATAGAATTAATACTTTACAATTGTAAAAATAATAACTACTGAATAGAAATAAATGGTAAAATTTTAAAATGTAAAATAAATACTCTAACTTTAAAATTAATTAATTAATTATTTTTTTAAAAAAGGAAATTGAACCACACCTGTAATACCCGCAACTCAAGAGGATAAGGCAGGATTGCAAGTTCAAAGCCAGCCTGAGCAACTTAGAGCCTATCTCAAAATAAATTTAAAAAGCAAGGGAAGATGTAGCTCAATAGTAGAGTGCCCCTGGCCCCTGAGTGCAATCCCCAGTACCACAAAAAAGAAAAGAAAAGAAAAAAAAAAGACAAGTAAGAAGAAGTATTTGAATCCTTAGTGTATAGCTTTAAATATTAATACATGAACTTCTTAAGCTTTCTCAATCTTTTTTCCTTATTTTTTTTAAACAAACAGCATCTTTTCCTTTCTTTTATTTCAAAGGAAATCAGCATTATCTTTTTCAGTTAAAACTGGATTATAATTAAGCATGGTCATACGTGCCTGTAGTCTCAGCCAATTCAGAGAGTGAGGTAGAAGTATTGCTCTATCCCAGAAATTTTTAAATAGCTTTATTATATTTGTTTATTTTGTGTGTGTGATGCTAAGGATCGAACCCAGTGCCTCACATGTACTAGGCAAGCGCTCTACCACTGAGCCACAATCCCAGCCCTGATCCCAGGAATTTGAGGCTAGCCTAGACAATGTAGTAAGACCCTGTCTCAAAAAAAGTAAAAATTAAACAAGTGGCATATATCTTGTATTCACGTTAAGATTCTGTCTCTATTTCAAGACTTTTTTCAAAATGATTTTTACCTGTGCTTAATGATGATGATTTGTTGGTAGAAAAAAAAACAAAACAGTTTTTTTTCTTTTTAGACCTTTTTTATATTACTTAATTACTTATAAATAATAAGCATATATATTTATATACAGACATATGTATATATATTTAACTCCTGGCACTTTCTTTTTTTTCTTTTCTTTCTTTTTTTTTTTTTAACAAGCCTATTTTTTTTTTCTTTTAAAGAGAGAGAGAGAGAGAGAGAATTTCAATATTTATTTTTTAGTTTTCGGTGGACACAACATCTCTGTTTTGCATGTGGTGCTGAGGATCGAACCCAGGCCGCACGCATGCCAGGCGAGCACGGTACCACTTGAGCCACATCCCCAGCCCTCCTGGCACTTTCTTATTGTTCAAAAGATCAGTAATCTACTGTCAGATTTTGGTGTTCTATATTCTAATAACAATACTAAGCCTTTAAAGACTGTGTTATAGATAATATGCAACATAAACTCTCTGGTATTGTTTAAATTGTTCCTTCTGTGGCTATAACTCAGTGGCAGAGCGCTTGCCTAGCATGTGTAAGGTACTGGGTTCCATCCTTAGCGCCACATAAAAATAAGCAAAATAAAAGCATGCTGTTCATCTAAAACTACAAAATATTTTAAGTAAATAAATTGTTCCTTCCTTATTATGAAATTCAATTGTAAATCCAGCCTTTTGAATAAGAATGCACCATTTGAATCCTCTTCACTGGATAATTAATGTATCTGTCAGGATTTAGTTAGAGGAACAAAGCCTTTTTGATATTTCAAATAAAAGCAATTTAATCGAGGGAAATGGTTATACAGGTGTTAAAAAGACTGGGAAGGCAATAGGGAATAAGAGGGCTGTGAAGAGGCAAACGGGAAGAAGGGAGAATGCCCAAGGATCAAAAGCTTGGGTCACTCTGGGCTGGAATTCCCAGGCCTGGACTTGGTACTACACTGTTAGAGCCACTGTCACAATTCTGAATCATCCAGAGAAGTGTTGCTTTAGCCAAGGATGGAACCATCTATAAGATGCTGTTTCCCACTGTGCCCTGTTCCCACAACTTAAAGCAGCTACCAGTACCTTCCTGTTTCCAGCTCTGCCTTTCTCTACTTTCTGATCTTCCATCAGTGCCTTCTGAAAACGGAATGTAACAGAAAGACAGGTAGCAAAGGAATCTACAAAATGGAGTGTATTCACTCAAAACCCCTTGCTAATTGTAGCAGAGCACAAAAGGACAGAATTGATACTTATTGTCCAACCTTCAAAAGCTGATTTTTGCAGTCAAGTCAGAAAGATTTCAAACATGTCAGCAGAGCAATAGGCATGAGTTTATTGAAGGGATAGGAAAAGGGAAAGAGGACACTCTCAAGCCAGAAAATGGGTCCTGTCAGAGAAAAGAGGGATAATTAGCCTCTCCTGCACTTCATTTTTATTGGAGATCCCAGAGAAATTTCCAGAGAGTCCCACTCAGGCCCACCTCTTAACTTTTGACTGGCAGAAGGATGACATCAGACTTTGAAATCTCCACTGCCATGACAACTCTAAGTCACCTTCGCATATACTGACCTGTTCAAATTGGATTCTTAACCATGCATTCTTACAGATTTTATGGTTAAAAGGAATTATCCTTATCTCCCTGAGTTTTGGGATCTGGTCTGTGAAAAGAGTCACAGAAGTATTCCTCTTCAGGGTAACTTGGGATTTTCTTATCTATGTTATTTTGGGCCTACATTTCTCGTATAGATAATAAGTAGTTTACAGAGGAATGCAACATATCCTGTCTACTTAAGCCAGGCAGGGCTACAGGTAAATTACTTCTTGGAAAAGAAAGCACGTGGGGGTCAGCACAGTGGGGCCATACTATAGAATTATTCTTTTAACCTTGGGTTCCCACTACTCACATCTGTCTGCCCCCATCACTATGACAGCTCAGTCCACATTAAGTTAGTGTGTATATACAAACCATATATACTTGCCATATATATTTATAGTTTTAAAGATTAAGCTTTATGTTTATAGTTCCTAAGAACTTTAAAAATTATCTAAAGCACTTTTTAATCACTAGAGTGACTAGTAGTCTTATAAATGAAGTAAGAAAGGCAGCATGACAAATGTTTAACAGTCTTATACCTAATAACTATACACTAAATAAACACTTTTTCCCTCATAGTTAAGTGGTGGTTGACAATACAGGTACTATTGTCATACCTAAAATGTTGAAATATTATTTTGACTGGTAACATTAGACAGAAGTATTATTTTCCCCACCAGCCTCCCCATGCACACCCTGTTATCTCTGTTCCAGAATATCCAAGGGATTAAATCTTATTCTAATGTGGAAATACAAATAGTGGGGGACCTTAATTTATTATGTCTTCCTTAGAGGAAATATACTTTCTTAGGAAAGTTCAACTTATTAGCATTAAAATATCATGTTACTGTTTCTCATTTTTCCATTAAAACCTCACAAGCATGCTCTTCAGATCACACTTATTGATACTTATCCATGGAAAATGGTCTTAAAATTGCTTGAGTAGCTTTGGAGACCTTTATTTGGCTAGTCTTACATGCATTGATATCTGCATTTGTAAATGGTTATATTTGATGTACTAGAAATATATTCACACTTAAGTAATGAGATGTCACAAATCTTAAAATTCTCTAAGAATCAACCCTTTATTAACAAAGTTGGTGTGAACACACTGGTGTACAAAGGAGGATAATCAGATTCCTTGCATAAAGTGTTACTGATCAACTAATTGGTTTCAAGATAAATATCTTAGTGCCCAACTCCTAATGTTATTTCTGTCCTTAGTTTTCCTTTCTATATTTGGAAATCTGAAATTGCCCCACATCTGGACATGTAGGGAGTTGAGGATATATGTAACAGTCCTCATTATCTGTATGATTATTAGCAGTTGAAAGGAAGAAAAGCTTGCCCAAAGAAAGAGCAGTTCTCCCAAGATCATCCCCCATGTTTCAGCTCCTTGCTTAAGGAATAGTGGAGACACTAGCTAAACCCCAAACCTGTGGGGACAGGACAGGGCTGGTAGAGTTTGTTTAAACTAGGGCACAACAGCCTGTTTCTTACTCTAGAGAGAATGTTTTTGCAGGGCAGAACCAGGAAGGAATTCTTCTCACACAAAACTATTTTGCTCATACTCTAAGTATTTGAAAATAAAATGTCTGTGGAACACATGTCTGTTCATTAATGGGAAAACTTCATCCATCCAGGTAGAACTGGAATGTAGTTCCGTCTAATAGTCTTATTCTGCTTTTGTTGTCATTATTGTTGTTGTTGGAAATGTCTTGTCTCATACAAAATTGTAATATAATCATATTGTGTGTTGTCATTTTATCTTGTAGTTCTCTTTAAGATATTGTACATATTTATGTATTTCAGTGGGAGAACTGAAGTCCAGTCAGTTCAGTATGGCAAAGAAAAGGCAAATAAAGACAGGGTATTTGCAAGGTAAGCCAATTCTGTTTCAGTGTCTGAATTTTTTTTGAAGAATTAAAGTTATTAAAAATTTTTTCTAAATGATTTCAGAATAGTCACAAGTCCTTTTCTTTATTCACACAATTGATTTGTTTTCCTTCCTTCCCCAAATGAAAATTAATCCTTTTTTTTTAATTAATGAAAATGAGAGATAGGATACATATTTAAATTTAAAATTCCAACATTGTCAAATATCCTAAAGAAAAATTGTCATCCCAAAACAACCATTTTAAATTTTTTCCAGGGTTTATTCAAGATTTTTCTGTGCATTTATAGATTTATGTATGTATATATTTGTTTCAAAATTGTTTCATGCTTTCTGTTGCTTGCTTTGATCACTTAACATATCACGCACATTTTCTTTGATACTGAAAAAAATCTAATCATTTATAATAGCAGTAAGTCTTTATAAACAGTTAAATACTTTTATAGTTAAATGTAAATCTAACTTTTGAGTTCTTTCCTTTGCCCCTGCCATGTCCCTGCCTTCACAGTAAGAGTTGTTGCTAAGACTATTTGTTACTGTCACAGTAATATGTATTAAGAGCTTATAAAAATAAATAATAACTATGAGCTACTTATATTTAAAGCAAAAAATTGTAGAAAGATGTATTTTGTGTTTGAGTAAAATTTACGTACCTTTTTTCCTTTCTTCTGGGGTTACCTTCTTTCTGATTTGTCTATGAATAATCTAACAGGGAAACAGTCTATGAAAATGGCTTGGTGGGAAGGATTCAGCAGGTTAGGGATATAGCATTTTGCTGTGATAAGTTTTCTTGAATTTTAATAGTATAATTCATTTTAGCATTTGTTCAGAAAAGTTTTGAATTCAGTTTATTCTTATATCTTAGTTTTAGATTTATGAGGGGAAGTTATCTTTTTATTTAATATAAATTTTAGTGGCTGTTATTTTGGAAGGGAGGAAAAAGTCAAAACACAGAGATGGTTATCCTAATTTACATGATTCCTGAAATTACTCAAAATCCTCCTTTTTACAGTGCTAGACACCATTATTTCCAGTTAGTAATAAAGACCTGTACAAAGCTAAAATGCACAGTAAGTGTTAATATAAAATTGTTTTCTTTGCAATTGCTCTTAGGGAAGAAATAATTTCCTTATCAACTTTATTATTCTAACTTAGAATGAATTTTTTCTAGCTCTGAGTATTATAATTTATTTTGTAATACTCATTTAAGTACTTATTAAAATGAAAATATTTTTCCTGTTACAACTGCACCAGAACAATATCCTTAAGCCTTTTTCTTTCCTTTCCTAACAGTAAGCTTTTTTCTTACTTAATATTTACTAAAAAAAAATAAAGATAAAATTTAAAGATAGCTATAATATTATGTCCATGAATACAGTATTATAAGTGTATTTTTACCATAAGGTTAATAGCAAATGCAAATGGTTTCTGTTTTATTTATTTATTTACTTATTGTTTATTTGTTTATTTGTTTTTTGGTAGTGCTGGGGATCAAACCCATGGCCTTGCACATGCTAAGCAAGCACACTCTCTCTGAGCTGTCTCCCCAGCACCACAAAAAGTTTCTTTATTAATATCATTTTAATATTTTTGGTCATATCAGCTTTTAGAAACTATACCTACATCTTACTTGTTCATTTTGTGTAGTCATTATTAAAATGTGAAGTTAATAGGTTATTTTATAAAACAAGTTTGCATTCAGTGAACAGTAGAGCTGGAATTCCAACATGATAATCCTCAAATGTCTATTCTGTTCCTTCTGTTTTGCTGGAATTTTATGAATTCTCCTTGAAGTAAGAAGTCATCAACTGGGAAGAGGTTTTAGTGGTACTGGGCTATTTTATTTATCCTTTCATGTTTAAAAGACTAGACTTTCTGGGATTGTTTTCCTAATATAATATTGTTGTGATGACCTGATACATATACATCAAATTTCTGTAGTAATTTCAGCAACTTTTAAATTATTTTGGCAAAATATTAAAGAATTCCAGAATTTCTCACCTGTTTTGAAATTTTAGTTGACAGTATAAATAGATAGAAAAAATTTCTTCTTAAATTTTTTATTATAAATTTTATAGCATTTTTTTCTTATTTCAACTCTTCAAATTGCTTTCACACTTCCTCAGTTATCATATAATAATATCTAAGAAGAAAGCAAAACAGCATTCTCATACAACAGAAAAATAGGTGCCATGGTCAGAAAATAAATTTACCACATTGCAAACACACTGCAGTGTGGTATTTTTTTCTCTGAAATTTCCACACTCAACAGGAAACATAGACAGCAGGTTTGAGTGGGTGGGTCTCTGAGGTTAAAACTGTTAATAAAATAAAATACCTGAAATTTAGCTTTGAATTCGAAGCATTCCAAACATGCCTAGTCTTATGAAGAAGAGTAAAGAGTTTTGACGGTTTATAGTAGGTGAGTATACTGGATATTTTCTTCCTTCAAAGGATTTTTTTCCTTCTCTTAGAAAATGAAAGTAGTTGATGTCCTAACTATAGATAGTGAACTCTCTTACAGCTTTCATTTAGTAGTCTTAAGATATGAGGGAAGAATAGTTTATAAACCTTAAGGATTAGCACTAATAGAAGAGCCATAAATGGTAAGTTATGGTAAGTTTATTTTTAAAAAATGAATGAAATAATACATATTAATTTTGTTTTGATTGATATGAACATTTGCATTGCAGTGTGAAGGAGTTGAACTAAATGGTATCCTGTAACTTAAACTCATGATAGTGGGAAATATTCATATTTAAATTATTTTGAATTTACTTATGGAAAATGAAGCTATGTCTTTTTGTTTAACCAACATTATATCTCTTTTTTTTTAATGCCCATTATTTTTTAAATTAAGGAGATATTATTATACCAAACTAAAAAGTTTTTGACTATGAATTCCTAAAATGCTAGGGCATTTTTGTGGTTTGGATTCATAAGTAAATTAAGTTAACTCATGTTAGTAAAACTAAAACATTGCTCTGAAAATTTAATTATCACAAATCATTAAATTCGGAGGTAATGTGAAGGGCATAAGGATCATATTATACCAATAGATATAGAAACTTAACTGATTTGTTAGGGGAAGGCCAGAACTAGTATTCAGTTCTCCTTATAATTATTTTAATGCTTTCTACTATATACGTGACACTGTTTCAGTTGTAATTGTGTGACTTAATATTAATTTGCCTTATGCCTTGCTTAATAATCTTTTTTATTTATACAAAAGTGTGCATACAGTACATGACAGGTTGGGGGGGTGGCAAACTTTAAGGGGAAAAGTCCTAATAAGTTAGAAAAAGAAATCCTATGAATTATAACTAAAAATAGCTTTGGTTTTTTTTTTTATTTCACACAAAAATTCTACCTACATTTTTATGATCTCCTTTTTTACTTTTGTAATGGGGATTTTTTTTTTTTTTTAAAGACAGGTCTTGCCGAGTTGCTTAGTGCCTTGCTAAATTGCTTAGATTAGTTTTGAACTTGCAATCATCCTGCCTCAGCCTCCCATGTCACTGAGATTATAGCTAAGTGCCACTGTGCCTGGCATGATGTAGTAGGATAATAGAATGTTTTTAAAAAATTATGATGTAACGGAAAATAACAAACATTTTATGTGGTGTGAATTTATTACAGAAATTTTAAAAACCTGGAAGATGATTTATTATATATTTTTATATAAGGAGCTTAATTAATTGTATTAGCCTCCATATAACCCTGAATTTCTAAAAGCTAGTTTAAATAGATGCCATACATTTTCAATGAATTTTGACCAGTTTTGGAATTTGCATATTAAAAAGTTTGGGGGTTTTTTAGTTGTTAACACTCCTAAAATTCTAAGGGTTTATGATCTCTGCACAGATCAATATCAAGATCTTTTTATTTGAAGATTACTTTTAGTTCTCATATTTATATCACTATGATAGCTGACAAGTAATCACTCCTCACCACAAGACAGAATAGTTAACCTTCTAAAATGCTTTTGTAAAAAAGAAAAATCCACTTTGCTATTATAAGAAAGTTTATACATAAGAAAGAAATAAATTGCATTTATTTGTAATTTATGCTGACTCATCTAGAGTGTAATCTATTAAAACACTTAAGAATTTGGTTTATAGTTTGGACTATAAAAATAAAACTCTTAATGTATTATTTAAATTATTTCTGCAGATCCCCAAGTAAACCTTTGGCACGGAAATTAATGGATTGGGAAGTAGTAAGCAGAAATTCAATATCTGATGACAGGTTAGAAACACAAAGCCTTCCATCTCGATCTCCACCTGGGACTCCTAATCAGTAAGTACTATCCAACACCAAGTTTGTATTTAGCTAGTTGCCAGATTATTAGCTGTATATTTCCATGAGTGTCTACATAAAAATTTAACTCTTTTTGATCAAGTATGTTTTTTGTTGCTCCATAGCATTATATCCTCCTTGCTTATGGCAAAAGTGGCATGGAATAATAGCTTTGGAGAATGAGGAAGTAGCGCATTGACCCTCAGTTTCCTCAGTAGTTGTCCTTCATAGTAAACGTCACTAATGAATAAATTAAGATCTATTAGTGGACTTAAAATCTCTTCAGATTGTTTTTTACACATCCTTTTCCATGTGAATTCCCAACAGAATTTCTCAGTGTAAAGATTGTTTGTAAATGCTTTACAAAATGATGCTATTCTCTTATATAAAACCCCACCCTACTATAGGGGTGTAACTTTGTGATAATGTTTGGCTTAGCATGTGCAAGACCCTGGGTTCAATCCATAGCAAAGCAAAAACATCCCATTCATTTTCTGTGGCCTAGAAAAGAATTTACAACAGTAGTCCCCATAAGCTTAGCTTTATCTATGCTAAAAAGAACTTTGTGATTTAGCACTTTTTATAGCATTTATCATAAAATGCTTTTGGTGTTAATAATAAAACAAGGAGCTTGTGACCAAAGGTATTGATTATTTTAATTTTATAATAGTAACATTATGTTCACCTAATTAAGATAATGGTAAACAAATGTGTATCAGCACATGAACCAAATGTATATACACCAAACTTTGTTATCCTATAAAGTTCATTTGTAGAATACTTGAATTTTGGTATAGAATATTTGGTATATATTATTTTTTTTGGTACCAGGAATTGAACCCAGGGGCGCTTAACCACTGAGCCACATCCCCAGCCCTTTTTTATAGTTTATTTAGAGACAGAGTCTTGCTGAGTTGATTAGGACCTCACTAAGTTGCTGAGGCTGGCTTTGAACTTGTGATCCTCCTGCCTCAGCCTCCAGAGTATTTAGGGTTACAGGCAGTAGTCACCATGCCTGGCTAGAATATTAATGTTTGAAGAAGTCTTCTTTAGAAATATTTTATACACATTAATGTTCAATAAGTTTTCACTAAATTCTAAAAGCTAAATCACTGATGGGTAGTATCAGCTGAAAAATAAACTTCTACCAATTGGACAATAAAAAGTATATGTATAAAAAAAAATTGGTTCACAAAACTTTATACCTAGGTGTCTTCCTTCCTGCTAGATAAATTGGACTATGTAGTTTCTTTTTTGTTTGTTTGTTTGAACTCCATAGTTTCTATCTTGCCCATTGCAGATTACTGAGTTAGTTTGCCTTATAAAATAAGGTGTATGCTCATCAGCTTGTTTGAAGAAATTTTGGAACCTTCTTTTTCGCTCCCTTTTGCAACCAGACATTTCTCCATTTGTTACCAGCACCACTAAATAATTATAATGAGTTATAGATGACAAAAGAAAAATTAAAACAGATGATTAATTACTTAACAGCATCTTATTAAGTTTTCGGATTAATGAAACAATTTTAGGTATTTTTAAATTCTAAATAGCTAGTACAGGGTAGTGGTTAAGAATGTGGACTTTAATAGTAATAAGTGTGTTGCATCTAATTATGGTAGATAGTAAGGCTTTTTAAACTTTGAGCAAATTAATTAATTTTCCTCATCTACAAAATTATAAGAGTGTCTTTTAATATTTATTTATTTTTTCGTTGTGGTTGGACACAATATCTTTGTTTTATTTATTTATTTATTTATTTTTATGTGGTGCTGAGGATCGAACCCAGGGCCTTCCTTGCACATGCTAGGCAAGCACTCTACCTCTGAGCCACAACACCAGCCCCAACAGTGTCTTTCTTATAGTACTGTTTTGAGGACTAAAGAGGTAGTATATGGGGGCTGGGACTGGGGCTCGGTAGTAGAGCGCTTGCCTGACACGTGTAAGGCAGTGGGTTCAATCCTCAGTACCACATAAAAGTAAAATAAAGGTATTGTGACCACCTATAACTAAAAAAAATACATATTATAAAAAGAGGTGGTATATGCAAAATGCTTACAACAATGCGTAGTACATAATAAATTCTCTAATATCAGCTGTTTTAACTAACAATTGTAATGACAACAATTATTTATATGACAGTCATTTGTAAGGATAGAAATATGGTATTTGGTGCCTGTTCTTAGGATGTGAAATCCCATAAATAAAAAACAGAATTAAAAAAGAATTTAGACTAGAAGATATTTCTAAATCATTTATTCTAATCAATTTTATAAATTTTGGATAAGATATAAAATTGTAGTGACTAAAACCTAGAAACATTTGGATAGAGATAATAAATGATTGAATGGGTAAAATTCTTGTGACAGATTTGTTTGTGTCAGACACTTTGCTTAGTCAACATAGTTAGTCTTAAAAACACAATCCCCACTGTCTCATGCAACCATATTTTTAGGAAACTTGGAATATTTTAATTAAAGCTTTTTTTTCTCTTCTTCATTTAGTCGAAATTCTGCATTCACACAAGAGGGAACCCGATTACGACCATCTTCAGTTGGTCATTTGGTAGACCATGTGGTTCACACTTCACAAAGTGAAGATTTTGTGAGTCAGAGATCTCCATCATCTACACAAGCTAATAGCATCATTCTGGAATCATCACCGTGAGACCTTTTTTTATTTTGCTTCCTAATTCTATATTTTCAGATGCTAAAAATTATTTCATTAAAAATAATTTTTGATACAGGATGTTATTTATCTGATTTTTGAATATTTAGTATTTGTAAATGAGCCTATTTGTCCCTGAGAATTGTTTGTTGCCTCTTTCTCCCTTTACCTCTGGTTGCTACTATCTTTAATTTTAAGTGCATATGCTCAGATATTTGTGCAGCTTTTGTAGCATTGTGGTCAGGAAGTAGGGTAGTGAAAGGTACAGCTTTTTTTTTTTTTTTTTTTTTAAGACAGTGTCTCACTAAGTTGCCAAGGCTATCCTTGAACTTGCAATCCTCAAACTTGCCTCAGCTTCCTGGGTAGCTGGGATTACAGGCAGGTACCAATGCACATGATGTTTTCTTCCTTAATATTTTTTAAGGGGCTGTGTTTGCGGCTCAGTGGTAGAGCACTTGCCTAGCATGTATGAGGTATTCTCAGCACTGCATATAAATAAATAAACAATAATTGATAACTAAGAAAAAACATTTTTAAAAAGTTAAAAAATGCTTATTAAGATGGTTAACACTGAATAAGCCTTAGAAACCATGCATATATCAAATTTTTATACAGGTATTATTATTGTATACTTATTGGCTGCATAATTTTAAAACAATGGAAATTCTAGCTGGTAAGGTAGCACATACCTGTAATCCCGGTTATCAGGAAGATGAGGCAAAAGGATCACAAGTTTAAGGAGAGCCTGGGCAATTTAATAAAATTGTGTCCTAAAATAAAATTCAAAAAAGAAAGGGCTCGGGATATAAGTCCGTGGTAGATCAGTTGCCTAACATGCAATAGGCCCTGGGTTCAATCAATCCCCAGCATTGCAAAAAAAAAAAAAAAAAAGCACCGTGAACTTTTACTTTCTACAACATGAAAAGACAATAAATAAAAGATAATGTATAAATGGAATGAACATAAAGGACTAAGTATATGATCTTCAACCACATTCACATTATATATTAAACTGATCTTTTTATAATCCACTTATTTGAGACTGTGAGTTGACATGATACATGCCATTTAAATATTACTTCTTGGCCTTATAAAACAATTTCATTGGTATTTATGTGGGGAGAACAAAAGTATTTATTGTAACAATTATGTTTCAGAGGACATGATTTAAATGTGAACATATTATATAATGAAGAAGAAAGCAGTGCAAGTATTGGCTATTTTAGAAATGCTTCCTAAATTAAAATAACATTTATTAATTTATTTGGCACTGAGGATTGAACCCAGGGATATTTAATCACTGAGTCACATCTCTATGTTGCTTAGGCCTTGCTAAATTGCTGGGGCTGGCGTTGAACTTGTGATCTTTCTACCTTAGCCTCCCAAGTTGCTAGGTGGTGTGTATATACCACCAGACCAGACTTAAAATGACATTTATTAAATATTATTATATTTCCCTTCCCACACTCCATTCTAATAGATGACAAACTATCATATGAATCTATGAAAGTTAAAGTTTTAACATTGACACAGGTTACCAAGGGAACTCACATTAGATTTAAAATTGTGAATATTCACTGTATTGAGCACCTTTTTTTTTTTCTTACACGAAGTACCTTCACTTAAAATGGCATGTTTAGTTAAACTATTCTTGGTAACCTCATTTACAATCAAAAGATGAGCCAAGAGAGCACAGATACAGACTTAGTATCATAGATGAAAAATGATAGTGAACCAGGCATGGTGGTGCATGCCTGTAATCCCAGCAACATTGGAGGCTGAGGCAGGAGGGTCACAAGTTAGAGACCAGCCTCAGCAACTTGGCAAGACCCTATGCAACTTAGTGAGACCGTATTTCAAAATAAAAAGGGCTAGGAATGAGGCTCAATGGTAAAGTGCCTCTGTATTAAATCTCCAGTACCAAAAACAAACACAAAGAGATAATGAAGAACCATAGGCATTTTAAGGGATGAAACAGAGCACAACAGTCTAGTTAAATTAAGTTTGGTGGAAAACTTCATAACCCATAACATTTGAAGTGGGTTGATCTTTCTTTGTTCCATAAGGGATTCAACCTAGGGCCTCAGGAATATTCGGCAATACAGTCTACCAATTAGCTATACTTCCAGCCTCATTTTTACTTTCATACTAATCAAAGAAAGGGGCAGTGTGGTCATTCTGTTTTAAAAGCAGGAAGGTATATTATAAATTTGGTGGTTGTTTGTTAGTTATGGAGATTGAGTCCTGGGGTGTTCTACCACTGACATATACCCCCAGCCCATTTTACTTTGAGACAGTATCTCATCAGATTGCCAAAGCTGGTATCGAACTTACAGTCTTCCTGCCTTAGTCTCCCTTGTTGCTGGCATTACAGTGAGCACCGCCATGCCCAGATGACATTGAATTATTTTAAAATTTTTTGCTGGTGTGGTGGCACTTACCTGTAATCCCAGCAGCTTGGGATGTTGAGGCAGCAAGATTTCAAGTTCGAGGCCCCTCAGCAACTTGGTGAGACCCAAAGGCTAAAGGTATAGCTCAGTGGTAAAGCACCCCTAGATTCAATCCCTGGTGCAAATAGATAATAAATAGATAGATAGATAGATAGATAGATAGATAGATAGATAGATAGATAGATAGATAGATAAATGGTCAATGTAAAAACATAAATTTTATCTTTAACACCTCATTTTCTCATAATGCAACTGATATATTTTGACCAGATTATTCAATGTTTGTAACATTTCTTCTTTGAGGCATCCCTTTTTAATTATGTTCAGGCATTCAAAAAATGTTTTATTTAGAATTTTTTCCATAAGCAACCTTTGTTCCTCTTCTTTTGCCATGGTAGTCTGACAGGACCCAAATGATTTTTCATTTTGAACTTAGGCTCAGGCTGGGTAACTACTGAGTTAGGATGGCTCTTCATCGCTTTTGCTTTACCAGCTTTCCAATCACTCAGATGAGCTTTTCTCTTTTCTGCAGTTTCTCTGGACTGAGCTGATCCTCTCAACAATTGCTTTTGTTCTAGTATGTCTTTACTGGTGTATTTTTTTTTTTTTTTTAGCTTTTCTATCAGTTCGATATTAGACGATGAAGGAGGCCCGGCTACAATTTCAGATGCTATGGTGATGCCTTATATCATTTTATGTTCTGAGAACTGGTTTGACACTAGAGAAAATCATTTTTGACTGTAATAATTCTTTTTCATGAGGCCCTTTTTGAATTTTAACACTAGCAGGGATTCTGCTGGTTCCTTACTTCATGGTATCCTGGGTATTATTATGGTGACTTCTAATAGGATGTCACATACGTTGTGTGTTCTGGGATGTAGTGCTTACAAATTTAATGGTAGCATTCATACTGAAGGCTCCTCTTTCACTTCCCATTACTGGTGTTTACGGGCTGAGGCTTTGTGGCTTTAGAGAGAGTAGTTGAAAATCTGTGTAGTTGCACAACTCTTTGACTTGTAGAGGTTTTCTAAATGAATTAATATTAGACTGACTAGTTTGGCCAAGATAAGATCCTAGTACAAGTTTCTTGGGTGTATAACATCTTGCTTTGGTTTCTCTGCAGTCATTTGTTACTTTTTATTATTGCTTTTAGGGTGAAATACCTGGCTTTTAATGTCTTATTTTGACTTTGGGGATCACCTTAATTTGTAATGACTGCAGAGTTTGTCATCCTCAAAATTATGTTTCAGTTGCAGTAGTAGAATTGGTTAACTCATTAAAAGGTTTTATTTTAAGACAGGGTTTTTTGAAGTTACCCAGTCTGGGATCAAGCTTGTGATCCCCTTGTCTTAGCCTCCCAAGTAGCCAAGATTACAGACCTGTACTACTGTATCCAGCTCATTGTTATATTACTGTTACTCTTTTGATATTTTTTTCCTTTTTCTTGCTCCCCACCCTGCCTTTACACTAGTGGGCTAAGGATTGAACCAAAGGGTGCTCTACCACTGAACTACATCACCAGCCCTTTTTTTAAAATACATATATGTATATTTAGTTGTAGATGGACACAATACCTTTATTTTACTTATTTATTTATTGTAATTTTTTTTTAGTTGTAAATGGGCACAATATATTTATTTTTATGTGGTGCTGAGGATCTAATCCAGCAACTCGCGTGTGCTAGGCTTGCGCTCTACTGCTGAGCCACAACCCCAGCCTCATCTCCAGTCCTTTTAATTTATTGAAACATAAAATTACTTAGGCTGACCCTGAACTTGGGATCCTTCTGCCTCAACCTGTCGTATCACAGGGATTAGAGGCATGCTTCTTTTGATATTTTCTTTTTTACCCATTTTTGTTTAAGTTTCAGAATTTTTGTCCCTTCTTGGACCTGGTCCTCAGATGTCATTATTCTCTGTTCTCTACTGGATATCTGATTTTCTGTTTGTATGCAAAATGTTTTTTGTTTTTGTTTTGTTAACAAATGTTCCTTGAGCTTTTGTCGTCTTTGCGCTCGGAACATGGTCCAGGCCTTCTGACTCAGGAGCAGCTACAGGTCCATTGGGCACAGTTAGGGTGCTTATTGCAACCTGGGGTTGGGAATACATCTCCACCTTAAACGACTTGGATTCTCTCAGGCCACCACTGCCACACAACGCACGCATCATTTCTAAAGTTCATTTCTACATCACATTGCACCTGATTGATATATAAATTCAACTCCTTAATTTAGTATTTAGTCCATCAATTTAATATACTAATGATATCCTCACATTAATGTTCAATACCTTAATTTATTGGCTTATATAATACAGAGTTTCTATGTATGTGCGAAAATGAGTTTATAAAAAGTAGAAGATGTACCATTGTACTGTCATGTATAACTAATTAAAACAAATAAAAAAATTAATATTAAAAAAGTAGAATATGTACAAGACACAGATAGGTAAGAAGATTCATTAATTGTTGAGAAAGAGAAAGGAGTACAAGATATAGTGAATGTGAACAGCTTAAAGTGACAGAAGAGATGAATGGTCAGCAATGCG